GAAGTGCGTAGTCTTTTTCATGAATCAGATAAACTTCTTTTGAACATCTCCATTTTTCATGCTTCAAAAAATGGTACTATTTATTGAAACTTTATCCCAAGAACTCAGAGTAATTACAAGTTTTTTTTCCCTAACACTGTATGTAAAGAAATGTTTGTTAGCAAAATTATGAAAAGTAATGTAGTTAATACTTCTATGGATTCTCGAGGAAAATGTAAAGACTTCCATAAATTACTTAGTATCTTTCAACGCTCGTATTCCAATTTTTTATTTATTTTTTGAGCCTCCTCTAAATTTACTTTGCTCCGCCGCCTATGGGATAAAATAATACAAATTGAAAGTTTATGCTATCCATTTTAAAATAAAACAACTTGGTAACTGTTCTCATTATGTTTTATAAAGCTCAAAAGCTCATTTATATGTGATTTATAAAAATATGATACTCGTTACGACTCTTGAAGGAGAAATAATATCGAAAAATTGACTTTTCAAGACTATATACTTTTTCGAAAAGTTTCATAGATTCATACAGTAGATCGGTTTTCAATAAGTTCTGTCCATAAAAAGATATATACCAAATGTACTCTTATTCGGTAAAAAAGTTCAAAACTATACCGGCCCTGCCATTGATGCTGCATACATTAGCATACAAAAAAAAATGTAATCCTTCTACAAAGTCTCTTCTTGAACCGCGATGAAACAGGTAGTAACCAGAAATGCTCATCGTACGATTAAATTAGGTCAAATTACTTAAAATATGTCGTACTTGATATGCATTGTTCGGCAAAAATGAGGCGTTTTTATTTTCGATTGATGGTTGAATAAAACTTTTAATTAGCACACTAAAATAAAATGTGTCGCACTTTGAGACACATTTTGAAAGCATACTTCGAACCTACTATACAGCGTATTTTTAATTTTCTTTCTTAAAAGCAAATTATTACATATTTTTCGATTCAATTTCATTTTATAATTTCTATTCTGACAATCAAGCAGGTCAGATCTTGGGATCTATCTAGCCTCGAACTGGTTCACTCTCCACCAGACCGCCTCAGAGTAGTCCTTTCTCCATCACGGATCAAGATCGGCATGCTCTGGACTAATAAATAGTTGAGAAATAATCTTAAAAAAATTTGGTATGAAAATATATCAGTTTCGTATGTTCAATCACGTTGTCTATATATATCTGTTTGTCCAAAACAAAATGGTGAATGAATAGACAGCAGACAGAACGAAATCGACTCACCTTTTTAGATAAACTTTCTTGAAAGCCGAGCATTTAGAGAATTCTAGGCAATATATTGCTCTTCATAACGAAGAAAATATAAGCGAGTATCTGCGCTTGGTATTTAATCACATTGTTCTAGGTTCTGAACTTCTGTACTTTTTTCTATTTTTTGCAGACGAATTCGTTTTTTATCGAATAAACTGAACTGAATATCATTTATGCGACCAAATTACGAGTTTCTAAGGATGAATGAAGAGTCTCTGCAAAATTTGTGAGAAAATTGGACAAAAAATATCAATGTAAGTGTAAGAGTCTTGATATGAAAGGCCTATCATTGCTAGTCATACAGTTACTTTCCCTAGAAAGAAGTACTAAATTACATTGAAATTGGGCTTCAATCTTTTTTAGGATACTTTCCATTGAATTTTTAAAAATGTGGATATTTAGTCAACACTGATATCGAATGAAATTTTCTGATTTACTTATTACTCTCATTTTTTATCATTCGGATTTAATATAATAAGTGCAATGCACCATTTCTATTGCGGCAGTTGTTGATGTTGTCAGACCAACAAATACTTGATTGATCGTCAAGCAATCTCAAAAAAAATTATTGATAGCTTTCGAGTGACTGATTAAAAATTCATATCAGAATATTTCTGTTTATATTATTAAGATTCAACATTATGATGAAAGTTACAAAAAAACAAAGCATCTTGTCTAGATATTAAATTGGGTAAATTGATATTATCGAAAAATAGGAATTTGATCGTTAGTTTACTAGGCGAGACTGAATGGCATCTGTTAAACTTGAAAGTCTTCTGTATTATTAATATAACATGGAATTCGATTTCATCAGGAAAAAGAAGAGTAAAAGATGCAAGAGGTAGTCAATACTAGAGATGACTGCTACAGAGCAAGTTAGTCTGGTTATAATGAAATATTCTGTTGCTATCGAAGGTGAACGCAGCAAGACAGCAAATAGTCCGCATAGTTCAATGACGTTCAATATCTTTCTTCATTCAAATACAAGTAGTGACTGATCAATATCTTGAACAGGTATTAAGTTAATCTTAGAGTTTGAGACACACAGGGGACTTTTTTAGTATAATCAGTTGCGAAACAATTTTTCTCAACAGTAAAAACATGTTCAATGATCATGAAGTCAATTGCCATCGACTTCAAATATGACACACGTTCATCATTGATAAATTTCTCTCCCTGCAGTGTACCGACCTTGTTTCGTCGTTTCAGCTGAACATCGACTGCTTTTGAGTACGTTCAATACGATAGGTCTGTTTTCACACTTCATTCGACTATCATCATCCTCTTTATCTCCAACCGTATGATTTATGATCACACAATATAGCTTCCTGCAAAATATAGAATAATTTGTGAAAATCTGATTGCCTTGAAAAGAAAAACAATTCAATCGCGTTTTATATGGTAATCTCAGAAAGATTGTGCTAAACTCTTTATAAAATTTGCAGTTTTTTTATATTGATTCATGGTAGGAAATATGAACTTGATGTTGGAACGAAGAGCTGAAAATGGCAATTGCTGATCAGCAATTTTTCATAATTTCTACCACTAACCAGATCACTTTATTATGAATAATATAGTACAGATCACGAGATCTTGCAATCGATCAAAAGGCTACAGCCATTGTGTCCTTCAGATCTTCCATTCAACGCCTAAAAAAACAAGGTTTTCGGACTAATAAAATTAGTTTACCATTTAGAAACTGGGTAAATATAGCTGCATATTGTTCTCATTCGTTGTATGACTAAAGAATGGTCCGTAGTTTGTTTTGACTAGCTGATCCCACTAATCTCTTCTATCCGTTTATATAAATCTAATATTATGGATTTAAACCAATGATTGCTCTTTTCTCGTTTACTTAATTTCTTCACTTTCTGTCAATGTCATACTATTAGAGGCACATACGTCACAAGCATCGACAACATTACAATCGTTCTTTAAAACAGACGCTAATTGTGCGTTTCCATGAGTAAAGCACAACCAATCAACTGGCTAAGTCAATAAAAGACAAACAGCTGTGTTGTGGTTACACAAATTCATGCTTAGTGAATATTGCTTTGCCTTGAACTTCAAACAATCCATTTGTTTGGTTATAACTACGATTTCGTCGTCAGTTTATGACAGAAAAAAAAATGACGAGAGGCTGTATGCCATAGAAACCGTATTGAAATTGCATGTGAAATGACGTACAGAGTAAGCTGAATTTCTCGGGCATCGATAATTTTTTATGGTTTTCATTCATATTTCATTTACTATGCTTGATTGTCATCTGTTTCTAACTTGCTTCTACTTAGGATCTTTTATATCATAAAGCTAGTATAAGTAATCTTATATACATATTAGTTAGCTTGTCGTGCGGATATTTTGAGAAACTTTTGATATAGTATATGCTCCAAATCGATACATACGACAAGTCAGAAGCATAATTAACCTCTCTACGTTAACTTTGAATCCTAATGAGATTATCCATGAACTAATTTTGTTGGAAGAATTATTTTATATGATTGCTTTACAAGGAAAAATAACTTGACTTCTTTTTACATTCGGTTTTCGTCCAATAGTCGACATATGATGGGGAATCGAGTCTTTCAAAGGTTTTGATTTTAGAAGCATGAAAACTTTTTATCCGATGCAAGTCTTCATTAAAACTGAATTTTGACGGAGAAAAATGCAGTTAATGAAATGCTATAAATCAATGTCGATCATCATTAGTGCGTTTCTGATTTTTTTTTACAAAACAAAAGTAGATAATATTTCCCACTCTGCTACTACTATTACAAGACTATATACAGAGAAAATCATCTAGTTGGATGCACATATGATAATACTAATAAAGTAGTAAAGATAAGAGAAATGTCGATCTTGAAGAAGTACATGAAAATATTTGAGCTTTGTTCCTTTTTTTTTGATAACACAAGAGAAGAAAAAACCGAATAAAGATACTTAGTTTTTGAGTAACTGTCGAGTGAAAAGGCGAACCAATGCACTTGATTTTTTGTTAGTTACATAGCAATAATTAAGTCTTTATTTGGAGTTTTCTGTTCAACAAAAATCCTTTATACAAGAGAAAATCTTTCAATAATAGAGAGCAATTCAACAATCCATTGACAGATTACATTCGATATCCTGCTGAGAAAAGGACATAGAGAAAATATTTAGTATGAAAACGAAATCATAGGTAATCTAGACAGAAAAAAACCTTGCTAATGATTATGATCTATGGATCAAAAATGATTAGGTCGTTCTCTAACAAAGTGACACTTTTCAACATTTTTTATGTCTGAGCATAAAGATATAGAAAGACTAAGACAACAAACATGTCCAATCTATTAACGGTTTCCATTCGAATTAGACACTAAGCCTCTTACTTTGCATCTGATTAACAAAAATCCACGATTCTAATTTTAGATCAACGCTTGCAAATTTAATATTTCTCACAATTAAGTATCGACATAGAACTGGTTAAATAATGGGCTGCAACAATTCGACTGCGACCGTCGAAAACTGTGAAACGGAATCCATCGATACCAATCGTAAGTAGCATTATTTCACACAAAACATTACCATTTATCGATTCATTCATGTTCATATCAGAGAAAAATTCAGCACCATTGCCAAAAAATCAACAACGTGCTGATGCTAAACCAAATACGTGGGAAATGCAAGCTTTAAACAGTCACAATGCGTTTCGAGCTCATCACGGTGTCCCACCGCTGGTACTCAAAGATGAGATCACTCGTAAAGCCCAGGCTTACGCAGAGTATATGGCAGAAAATAATCTATTCGAACACAGTTCAAATCGTGATAATCTCGGTGAAAACTTGTATACAATGAGTAGCTCGGAACCATTGACAAATGAATCTCTTGGTTAGTTAAAACAGAGCTTTGTTTAAAAAAAAACAACTTTTGCTATCATAGGAACGGATGCTACTCAATCTTGGTATGATGAAATCAAAAGCTATGATTTCAATAATCCAGGTTTTTCGATGGAAACTGGTCATTTCACTCAGGTCATCTGGAAGAATACGAGCAGTTTTGGTGTAGGAGTGGCTTTTGCCGATAATGGTAGACGAGTAGTCGTTGTTGCCCAGTACGGACCAGCCGGTAATGTCATGGGGCAGTTCCCAGAAAATGTTCCACCTCCTCAATAAGTTTTTTTGAAATAAATTCTGTCGACTTTGGACTATTGTACGTCACAAGTTGGGATTGACTCGACTAAAAAGTAACATATTTTTGTTTCAGAAGTGCAAGTGTCATATAATAATGTTGATGATTTCTTACTCCTTCAGCAATTGTGCATGAAGAGTTTGTAATAGAATAGTTGAGATGTGGGGTGGGGGATGTGGGTGTGCATGGGTGTGAGTGTTGATGAGAACAAGACACTCTATTACCATCTCCACATTGCTTATACACAATAAGATCCAAATCTGTCAGCTTCTATTTGTGTATACTTATAGGGCAAGCAGTGTCACTGATGTTATGTGAGAGAACGAAGGAAAAGATAACCTTCATGGAACGTGAAGCCACATCGTCTTCTATCCAAACAGATGTCCTATGCCAGTTAAACTACAAGGAATATATTAGTCGTCGTTTAGCGTGAGTATAGCATCACTGACTCTAACAACACACTTGCCGAAAAACGGTATAGGTGTCAATGTGGATGTGGCTGAATACCATACAATCATCAATAGTCATGACGACCCTTACACTTTTGAGTGTATCTCAAATAAATAGAATAATTGTGGTAAATTTTCTTGCTACCATGTTCTTTGCCAATAATCGTATCATTTTAACCCACCATTTTATATGATATATCGTCGCGTTCATAAAAGCGAAGAATAGCATTGTTTCCCTTTTAATGAGTAAGTGAGTTGATTGGTGCGGGTGTGAGTATGCGAGAGAAAGAGTTAGTTAGGCTTTCATGAAGGTTGACACTCAAAGTCTTATCCGTAAATAGCGACTGAGTGCCGAATTTCGATAATCAATGTAGAAAAGTCAAGAATCTAATTTTCTCGTAGACAATACTCATTTGAGAATTACTATTCTTGTCTATGTGATCTATGTGTTGAGATTTGTTCAGCGATAAAAGTGCCAAAGAAGAACCATTCAAAGATTATCAACTATTTGCAATATCTGCTACTTTCCTCGAAAATGGTGTTTATTTTTCATTGTCAAAATCAAAACGTTCTTCTCTTCTCTCACAACTCAACAAGCCACTCGAATCTATTGCATTTGCAAAGACTATTCTCGAACTCGACTTCAGTTGATTGATGAATGTTTTGCATTGTCACATGCGATGAAATATTCACCGTTCTCACCATATTTATTTATAATTTTTTTCTCGTATTGCTCGTTTTGACTACTCCACCTTGTGTGTCTAGATTTGAGCTGTTCTTTGAAGTCTTTTATTCTTTTTTCTCTATGCGTAGAATGAACGTACTATTAAGTATGATAGTGTCGTCTTTATTTGGTAGTCAATAATCAAGGTTGATGATTACGCTTCAGCACACACATGTATGCGTTCCAGAGCAAATGATAGGTTTATTATTCGATGTTGCTAATATATGCTTACATTAAATCGTCGTTATATCCTGGAATTTTATAATTGCTAAGTTTTCGACAAAAAGAAACGCAAATCATGGACATTGGACATTATCTTGTTACTCATTTTACTACTCTCGTGCCATCTTTGATTATACCTGAAAATCCAACGAAGCTCGTTGCCGTGCTCAATCGGTAACAAACTGCATGTTTCCTTGTCGCTTTTTTTCCATGGTTATTGGATGCTTTTGATTTTTTCTCGGTGACGCTAAATGTCATCGTAATTGCTAAAACATACAATAGAAATGTGTTTGAAATCATTTGGACTATTACTATAACACTGACATTCCGCTCTATCGGTGTCATTATATTTGGCATTGCATGTGATCGATATGATTAAAAATAGTCATTCATTACCAATATTATTTTCTATGCAACAATTGAAGTCGTCACAGGTTTCTGTGTAACATTTGCACAATTCATTGAGGCTCGAACGCTTTTTGTTATATAGCAATGGGTGGTAATTGGCTTCTGCTGCCAGACAGCATCTATAAAGTAAGACGAGAGCCTATCTTTCGACAAAGATAAATTAATGAAGTCGTCAACATCATATGAGTGAAACGACTAAATAGAAAAATTTTATTATTTATATTAAGGAAATTAAATATAATATGAATCTGAAAATATTCGATTTTTCGTCATACAGTCACTTCATGACATTAGCCTTGATGAGAAAGTAGATATGCAGTAAAAAATAACATATCCATAACTTGGATGAAAATGTATGTCTGCAGTATATTTCTTTAGTTCTTGGTATGTGCAAACGATAAAAGCACTATACCCGAGTGAGTATTTCACGTATACAATTACGGCAAATACCGCACTACTTCGTTCAGTACTTTATTACTTTCTCAACCAAATATAGACTTTTCTTTTGCTCTTGAGTTCTTCAAAACTTAGATATTGCAGAGTAACATTATCTTTGCCAGATACTTCTATTGTCTTCTTGAATTTTTCAACAACTTGTATGTTGTATTATATCTGATTTATGAAAAAAAAAAACAAGTACACATTTCAAAATTTATCGTTTAATATTTGTCTCAACACTAGAACAAATCAAAATGATGTTTGTTTCGATATCATCAAACTTGAATTATTATTTTCATTATTAATGTTGTCAATTTTTTGGTATTTCTCCAGAATACAAACATACTCTCACCTACAAGCAATGTTTTGCATTGTAAGATCAAGCGAATTAGGGTAGGATCAAAGCAATTAGTGAATAGGATATGATTATTCTGTAGAAGAGCCAATTTTTCATCAACACCGACAGTTCGAACAGTTTACTTCTTTTTTATTAAGCTTTTTCGAAATGATTTGTCTGTTAAATTAACTTCTTCAGTCTTTCAGGGATCGATTTCAAGTAAAATGAGTCTATGACTTTTAGCTAATGAGTATATTTGTGGCGCCATTCTTAATAAATAATCCAGTTCAAAAACTAAGTGAGAACATCCAATGTGGCCGGTACAGACGACTTAAACACACTCACAACGGTAAGAAGATGCGATTTCAATTGAAATCCAGCATTTTTCTAGGAATTTAAAAATAGTCATGCACTGAAACAAAGAAAACTAATCTACAAATCCCAGTTATCCGTCAGTTTTCGAGCGGTTTGAGCGACACGGGTGCGCTCTGTTGTGATAGGCATCATCTATTTTCTTATCTCATTCACCATATGGTTTCTACTGTACCTTTTCTTTGAGCACGTTCAGAACTAACACTCCATTCAGTAACTTATTACAGTTTACATTTTATTCTTTTATGACATTATTTTATTAATATAATATAATAATTCAACTTTTTAAAAATGAATATTCGGATAAATTTAAAAGTTCATCAGCTAATTGAATCAATTGTTCCATGAATTTATCCATGTCTGACATTTTTGTGCGATGATTCGTAATACACATTCTCAATGCAAATTTATGATTATCAATAACTATTGGGGATACAACTGCTATTCCACGTTCTTGAATAGAAACTAACATTTGCCTATTTAATTTATTCAATATCTCCACATCGATAACATTTGAACGCGATACAATACATCGAAAACAGACAATATTCAAAGGACCTGTTGCCAATACTTCAAATTGATTGGAATTTTGTTCAATTAATCCGACAAAATATTTTGCTTGATCAACATTTTGCTCCATAATTTGCCCAAATTTCTCAATTCCGTATGTTTTTAATGTCATCCAAACTTTTAACGATTTCATGTTCCTTGATAATTCTAAACCATAATCACTAAAAAAAACTTCACCTTCACTTGGTGTTATTCCACCATCCATTAAAGTTAGATATGAAGCAGCTGGTTGACTAAACGTTGACTTATGTAATTGACCATGTCGAATAAGAATGCAACCACATTCATATGGAACAAAGAGCCATTTATGAAGATCAAATGCAATTGAATCAGCATGTTCAAAACCATCGAATAAAGGACGAAGACGTTTTGAACAACGAGCTACAGCTCCAATAGCACCATCAATATGAAACCAAAGATCACTCGGACGACAAGCACATATTATAGCTAGACTTTTAAGATCATCTATAGCACCAGTAGAAACTGTACCCGCACTACCAACAATAAAACCACATGAATGCGGATCAAGAGCTGCCTTTAAAGCCTGAAATAATATGAATTATATAATTTATTCATTTAGTTACAATTTGTAATGCTATACCTTTAAATCAATTTGTCTTTTAGAATTAGTTGAAATAAGAATAATATTTTCTTTGCCAATATTAAGAAGATCAACTGCTCTAATAAGACAATTATGCGCTTCTTTTGAACAATAAACTTTCATTGTTCGATTACAGAACTTTTTTCTAGCAACAGCCATGGCTATTATTGTTGCTACTGATGTACCACTAACTAGTACACCTGAACTTGTATCATCATTGGGGAAATTCATTAATACTTTTAACCATGATAAGACTTGCCGTTCTATATAGATACTTGCTTGATGACCACCCCAAGACATTGTATTCATTGTTCCAGTTATAAATTCAGCAATAGCTCCTATTGGTGAACCTGTTCCTTGAACGTAACCCCAAAAATATGGATGAATATTACCCACAGGATAAGGAAGAATAAGCGAACACATTTCATCATAAACATCAAATGGTGATTGACCTTTTAATGGAATATCAGTTTGTGCAATAGCTGTTCTTACTGATAATGGCATGGGACGCCATGCAGGTCGAAGACGAACATCACGTAAATAATTTATCATATCATCCATTATTTGATGACCTAATGATCGAATTTCAGTCCAATCAAGAGGATCTAATGAGATTTCATTAGTTTTCTTATCATCAATAAACAAAAAATGTTGAAATTCAATGTTAAATATCCATAATTTTGTGCGACTTTTTTCATGACCAAAATATATTGGCAATGATATTTCAAGATATCTTGAGTTTGTAACACAAATACTAGATTTCATTGTGACCAGCAAATCACATAATAAATTGTACAGTTCTGCTTTTGTTTCGCATAATTTATGTGTAATCGTAGAGCATTGATTGTCATTTAATAAAGCATCATGAGTCAATACCTGATTTTGATAAAGTTCAATTTTAAGATGATCATTAAAATCTTCTATTAGTACAATGGAATAATCATTATTTAACTCATAAATACTTTTTTCATTAAAACCAACCATGTGACAGTATTACATAAACTTTGAACAGTTTACTCGAATTGAAAATGACAACTAACAACAAAAATGCGTTCTTTTAAGTGAATAATATCAATATAAAATTGTGTTGATCATACATAGAAAATATGCATATATTTATATATTTGTAAAATCTTAACTATCATCCAAAATTGACTATACTCAATTGATATCATTATTAAGAAAGTGCGTTATTAGAAAACGCTGAAATTTATTTATTCAATTTATTTTCTACTATGTTTTTTTGTTATAATGAAAAATCGATTAGTCATGCACTCACTGTCAGCCACTTTTACTATTGTATTCTTATGGAGTCTAATTCTAACATGGTCTTAGACGCAGTTCTTTTTCTATATATGGTTAAAATAACAATATAATAAAAGAGTGAAAAAAAAATTTGATAAAATTATTTTAACATTTTTACTAATAACGTACTCGCTTAATAAGGATGCAAGTTGAGAACAATACATTTTGAATAATAACTTCGATGTTACTTTCAAACACAAATCTTCCACATCTATTCAACTCTTGTTGTGATGAAAAGACTTACTCACTCCTGTTTTATGAAAAAGATGAATATGAATGTGCGCAACACGAACAAAGATAAAGCCAACATGACATAAAAAGAAAAGAAAAAGTGTAAAGATAAGACCAACGCGGTATAAGAAAAAAAGACGATGACTCATTTATAGAAACCAGAGTCCTACAGTGTAAGACTTTTTTGTAGCCTATGCCCTATCGTTCCATGAGGCATTGCATTCTTACTCTACCCTATAGATTTTGTACCTCACCGTAAAATTGCCAGGTTTTGACAGATGTCAACATGAAGTTTTCATCATTATGTTTCAACATATGTTATTGATTCCCAACAATAATAAAATACAAAATTATTACCTGCTTCAAAAGTTTCGTAAGAATAAAATGCTATTAACAAAGTTGCCACTCAATTCTGTTTTCTCTCTTCCAAAACTCTTTCGCTTGCACTGAAAATTCGTTCAGTCGCGGCTGAACTTGCTGGAACTTCCATTAGGCTTTTTCCAATGTACTAGGTTATGGATAATTCAATGATTATTTGCCCTACCAGTTCTATGCTGATGCTTCATTACCAAAACTTAATTTTGCTTTAAGATAACGACTGACTTCTTCTAAACTAGAAAGATGTCAGGAACGTCTTCGAAGTTGTTTGCCGAAAAATTCTTAGCAATATATACGACATCCTAATTTTACACTAAACATTGTTTGTATTATATTTACCCTGCTCTGTATGGTTTTGATGCAAGCAAACATATGTATATGTATCACAGATGTCCTTGAACATGGACACAGAGAATGGTGACAGATAGACTCCGTCGCATTTGCATATTCCGAAAATTCAAAAAACCCTAAAGTGGATCCGAAAATTATAAAAATACCACATATTTTACTATAATCTTCCATAAACACTACATATATGTATTGAGCATGACAAAAATCGGCAGTTAATCATTATATTACAATGTTTTATTTTATAAGCTTTTCTCATTTGTTTTAAGGTGCTGGAAATTCAAAATTGGAGTGAATTTTGTTTCTCATTCTTTTATATATGGTTTGATAGGGCTTCAAAAGCTGATCACGAATATGTATTTTTTATTTCATTTCGACCTCTGTTTGACCAAGAAATCTTCAAAAAGACTAGAGTGACTAAAAAAATGGAATTTTTACGTGGAATTTGTTTTTCCTATGGGATTGTTAAATGTGTATTCCAGTTATTTTCGCAACTTTTTCAAAATACGATATTCTCAATCAGCATGAAAAAATGGGTAGAAAAATATAAATTTACTAGATGTAGAGCAAATACAGCTAAAAAAAATCCTATCCGATATAAATAGGTCTATCAGGCTAAAAGTGTGTATCAATGAGCATTCTTGTAACCCTATCTAGTTTTTCTCAATAAGAGATAGAAGTAACTGTCTTATCTTATTAAAATCGTCGGGTCATAGGCTACAACGGTTACTGTTTAGTTTTTTTAAATTCTCTTTGATTTTTGAGAAAATTGAATTTTTCTCATGCTTGCTGGTAACATGGAGCGAAAGGAAGAAAAATCTGTTAATATTTAGCGGTTTTTATTATCATAATGCTGTTAAAAGACAAAATAGATAGCATATTCGGCATCAGCATCAAAAGCTGCATCGAATCATATAGGTTCACTGAATCTTTTTTTCCTGCGCAAAAAATTACCCTAGGAGACTAGGGGAGAAATTTTCAAAAAATACACCTGAGGCGTACCAAAGGTCGATTTTGGATTGGAAAGAGGTTTTAATTAAANATTTTTTGATTTTTCAAAAAACAGCTGGTTTTTCGAATAGGGGGTGACGAAAATCTTCGAAAATTTTGGACAAAAAGGAGGTATCGAGGAAAACTTTTTATCAGCTATGACAGAGCAGATCACGGGCTATCTTCCCGTGCTGTTATCTCAATTTCGAAAAATTTGACGAAAATTGACTTTTTTTGAGGGGGGGGGGCCTTAAAGCTTAACGCTTCAATAAGTAGATAATGTAAATACAAAATTTGTTTTAGACTACATAGAACGATAGAATAAACAATCCTCTAGAAAATGAGACATCGCTGAGTTCTCTGGCATGTTTGCTGCCTGAGATACAGCAATTTGATTGAAGATCAAGAAATGGGTTTTCTATACGACATCACCAAGAAAAAGTCTGTAGAAGCTTTCGTAAGATTACTATATCTCAGTTAGAAAATGTCGCAGAGAACTCAAAGATATCTCATTTTATAGAGAATAGGTTAATCTGTCGTGCTATGTAGTCTAAATAAAATTAGATTTACCCATTCTTCGTGGTTAAAAAACTGGTCTTCTGGTTTCCTAGAGTGTCTGTCTTTGGGAACCTGATAATAATTTTTATTTCTCTATGTTCCTTATGGAAACATTTTTTTCGATTCAAATCATTATTTGGATTCTTTCTAGCATTTACGACAACGAAAAAAGAAGAGAAAATAAACCTTGTAGAATAACTTTGGTAACCGCTGTATAAATATACATATACACCCGCTCCAAACATTGATCGCACAGATTTAATACTGTAATGTAAACTTGGATAAAGAATCCAAAAGGTGACTTGAATAGAGAAAATGGTTTCCCACAAGGATTTAGAAGAAATAAAATCTTCAAAGTATTCTCGAAATTCAGAATCTCTAGAACACTAAAAACCTAGTTTTTCAGCAATCGGAACCGAAAAGCAAGAGCCTCTTCTGGTTGCAGGTGACGACAGAGCAAAAGAAGATCTCTCCACAACATTTTTTGACTTAATTACATGAATTTTAATTGAGAAACTTAAAAGTCCTTATTGTCCAGTTTTTCCTTAGAAAATGGCGAAAACAAAAATAGTTTTTGAGTGTTTCCTAATATCGATGTGGTTCCATCAAAGCGTCCTATGGAGAGCTCAGAGACGTCTCATTTTACTTTGTCAAATCCTTGTTGGAAACAATTTTCTTTACTCAAGCCACTATTTAAATTTTTTATGCTGTTTATCATTACAGAATTCAATCTGTACGATCAATTTTCGGAAGCATTCTATATCTATAAATTTTTTTTATTGATCAAATAAAAAAAAAAGAAACATACATGAGGATCAGCATGTACAAAACCGGAATGAAATATTTGAAAAGCCATAGCTTGAACAAGTTTCGTATCAATTTCTTTTAATGATAAATTTGTTTGATGAAGTTTTTCTGTATCTGAGACTTTAATACCATCAATATATTCCATAACAAGTACTCGTTTTGTTGTAAATGCCCAAAAAACTTTAGGAACATAAATAAATTTTAGATGTGGAGATAACTGAGCATAACATTTATCAGCATTTTCACCTTCTAATTTAAAATCAAGTTCACGTTCCAAATTACTTTTTACAGAATCAACTATCCAACCAAATGCAAATTTAGGAAAGATTTTACCAATTGCATATAATATCAAACGAATGGTTAATATATCACCGGCAAAACGATCTTGTAAATCAATATATTGTAATTTAACAGCTACACGTTCATCTGTTGATTTAAGACGACCTTCATAAACTTCAGCAAGAGAAGCTGCGGCAATAGGTTCTGGAGAAAAATAAGAAAATAAATCAGACACTTTACAGCCAAATTCTTCATCGATTAACTGACTAACCTAAAGATAAATTATGATATTTGATATTTATCTACAACTTTACTCTTCGAAATAAGATACATAACAAGTCGACTTTAATCTCATTGATGAATATCGAAAGATTTCGGAATACATTTTACAAGAAGTTTTGAAGTCTACTTATCAGCAGCTTTAATCTTTTTCTTTTTCTTAAGTGTAGATCTATGATATTTTCAACTGCTCGTCATTGGTAAAGGATTCTATTGAGTTTTCTGTTTTTACGAAATTCAGACTTAGAATCAGGAAAAGTTGATCTCGTAGTTAATCTCTGTTCTATTCGTCTGTGACATTCTTCGTTAATTTCGAACTAGCATCAAAATAGTTGAACTCAATTCTAAAATTAATCAATAAATATCATAAAAATCTTACTTCATTTCGTTGTCTTCGTAAAGCTTTATCTTGCAATAATCGAAGTCCATCAGTGTATTCTTTTGGTAAAATATGATCAGCACTAACCAGTCCTTGACCCATTTTAACATATAAGCCACCATTTTCGATACATCCTTGAGCTATTCTAGCTGCTGCTCGTTTATGACATTCTTTAAGTTTTATTTCATATTCTGGTGATGTGTCAGGTACTGTCCAAAAATGATATTTATAATCAACTGAAATAAGAAAACCGATTCGAATTGATCTGTACAAACAAAAATTAAATTTAACAAATATTTATCAAATATACAATCAACTAATGACTAACCGAAATCCACGTTGTAAACCTTCAAATAAAACTCTTATTTGACGTTTTTGTTTTGGTGTAAGATAGTAAAAATAATAAAGACTACCACCACCAAACAACAATCCATTCGCTATAAAATAATTTCTCAAAAAACGTCGACTACGACGTTTAACACCGAAACGATCTGTTATGGATCGAAGAGTACTTGTATTACTATTCGATACTAAATTTTTCCTCGCCAAACGAAATGTATTTGACGATAATAACAACGGACAAGCTCGAAAAACATTCATTTACATAAATCTAAAATGTTATTGAAGAACTTTCTGAATTTCATCACAAATATGCCAAATCATAATGCTATAGAACTATACAACAATATAAAACCATTCAATGAGACATCACAAAAAAATTTTTTAAAATTATATCACAAAAAAAGAAAATACCGGGCAAGTCAGTCAGATATATCAATTAATATTTAACTCGTTTAGCTCGTCCATTGAAATTACTTTCAGTTGACGATGTTGTTTCACCTTGATCCATCGCAGTATCTTCATCACATGCAGGACGTTTAAGACTTTTAAGAGGTTGAGATGCTGAAAATATGATTTTCTCTACTCGAGCAGTATTGTCATGATCATCTGCTAACCATGGATGTTGAAGTACACCAGCAATTGTTAATCGTGTATTCGGATCAACACACATCATTTGACGTATAAGATCTTTAGCTGCTGCAGAAACTTCAGACCAAAACTCATCGGGAAATGTATACAGACCTTTAAGAATTTGTTCATTTAATGGAGGAGAATCAGGCGATTCACTAAATGGTGGATAACCAACTAAAAAATAAACGAGTATAAATAATTAAAAAATAAGATTTTTTCTTTTTTTTTCTTACCTAAACAAATATATAAAATAACACCTAAACTCCATACATCAACTTTATTTGTATAACTTCCTTCCCCACGAGTTACTAAAATTTCTGGAGCTAAAAAGAAAAAGAAAAGTAGTACACAAAAAAAAAGAATTCTTTCTCATTTCTTTCTTACCAAGATAATTCGGTGTACCACAAAATGTTTTCATTAAACTTGTTTCATTAATAAATCTTGATAAACCAAAATCAGTTATTTTAATTAATGCTTCATTTGTATCTGGTGATGTTAATAGAATATTTTCTGGCTTTAAATCACGATGTGTTATTGAACGACTATGTAAATATTTAACACCAATACACATTTGTCGAAAAAGAAATTTACTTGTTGCTTCATCAAATTGACCATGTGCAACAATACGATCAAATAATTCTCCGCCATCAACTAATTCAAGAATAATATAAAGTGCTTCAGGTGTATCAATAACTTCATGTATATGAATTATACATGGATGATCTAATCCTTGTAAAATTGAACATTCAGTTTTTATATTTTGATTGAATATATGAGCTTGTGGACCAAAATGTGTAAAATGTTTTTTTGCAATAATTTTCATTGCAAAACGATCACATGTACCTAAGAAAAGAATACATTTTTAATGTTTCTATATTAACGATTTCATTTTTCTTATATTACATTCAGTTAAATTTACTAAAAATGGATAACTTTTGTTAATAGACGAATTCTGAGATGTTATAAACCACTCTAGAATAATTTGATTTTTCTGAATCTTACGATCTAAGATATAGGTTTATTATTATTTTCAGCATCTTACATAAGCGTGATTTATTCCGATTTAAATTTATATCTTTAATAAGTCATGTCGCACTACTGTCGGTATCTTTGTTACTCATAAGAACTGACAGTAGTGCTTACGATGACTTTTGGTTCAAGCTATAACCGATTTCTAAGAGTGTTCTCTAGCCTAAGTCAAAGGAATATAAATGAACCGAAAAGAAAAGCTTCAGAATAGATTTTATTATAAAAAATTACATCGCACAATCAGAGCTGATTTCGACTATAGTTATCATATGACGGAAAGTTTTAGAACTGATCGATCTTTTCTTTTGAAATGACAACATTATTATCATGACGATCTAGTTTTTATTGATTATGTGTCTTCATTGTCATTCATAGTTTAACTTCAGTTTCTGAACTGTTCTCTAAAGATCTATTTCGTTGTGTTCTTTTGGTCAATCAAAAGCATAAACAAATACGCGCTGATACTTGACACAGCCATAGCAAATAATCAGGTACACATGTGGCTTTGATTATTAGTTAATATGCAAAACAGATGATATTACCAAAAGGGAATACGTTCGTATCATAAACATTCTTAACTAATGAACAGCGTTATAACTTTGAGCTCGATTGAAACTTGTTTAGTCTCAATAGCGTACATTATGTAAAACTCGAACATTGTTAATAGTGATTGACGTATATCTCAATTCAGAAAATCAGAATAACTAGAGCATTCTAAGATTTTCAATATAATATTGAGGACCTACGTATTGACAAGTACTTGAGATGATACAAAGTGTTTTTCTGGGTAGTTTAATGTACTTGAGAATAGATCTGCCTCCCCTCCCCCTTTTTGGTAATTTCTGGTATTCGAAGAGGGTACAACCGATCCGCATGAAATTTTTACCATAAATAGAGCACTTAAAATCAGGGGACATGTGCTTGAGAAAAAAGATTTAAACAAGGCTTTCGTAGTTCTCTGATTTTACATTGAACCACATCGGACCCAGTTACGACTTCCATCTTGCTCTGTTCGATCGGGCTCAAAATGTTTTTTGAAGATGCCGTATACTATATATCATAGGTAACCTTCAACTTTTTCAAAAACCTGGCTTTCGTTTTTTCTATAGATCCTGACAGGAAGTTCAAAAACAAGAACCGCTAGTTTTACGTCTGGAGAATATTTCCAAGTATCTGTGGTTAAAATTTCATTCGGATCGATTATATCCTCCTCAAAAATCAAAAATAGCCCAAAAAGAGGCGAATATCCTTAAGAACGCTAGTTACTTATTTTGAGTTCATGTAGATGCTAACAAGATTGACTAATTCCTTATGCTTTTAGTGAATAGTGATCGAGTACGCCGATAAATATAACTAATCGTCTTTGAGTTAGTTACTCATTGTTGTTTTACCTCGAGTAAAGCATAATTTGACTTCACCATAAGCTCCACGTCCAATTTCTTTGGAGATAATATATTTATCTCTAACAATAGCTGGAAATGATAAATCTTCATGAGCCTTTGCATCAAGATAAATATAAGTTCGATGTGTTTTTGATGCTAATGCAATTTCTGCATTATTTTGTAAAGCATGTCGATTATTTTTTCCAATTTTTTCTCCATTTATATATGTTCCATTGGATGATAAATCAATAATATACACATCATTTTTTGTCGCATCACGAATGATTTGAAAATGTTTTGATGAATAAGCAAGAAAATATTTTGATGTTTGAAGTTCATTCGAATCCAATACTATTGTACATGTTTTACCACGACCTAATGTATATTCATTATCTATTAAATCAATTGATTGAAAAAATTTATTTATTGATAATAATCGACCCCATATATTCGATTGACGATTACAATTCCCGTCATCTGCTAAGCCATCCTCAATACTATCAAATCCTTGTGTTCCTTGTGTTGGTACACTTAAACTCTGAATAAAAGAATAATTAGGAAAAAGAAAAAAATATCTTGATTTATCATCAAACCATTGGTATCTCTTCACTCATGATGGCAACAATTATGTTTATGCACCATAGAATTTTCTCGCTTATTCTTTGAAAAGAATGCAAGACTTCAACATGAGTCAAGGTTACACCATATCGTATTTTTGAGTAAATGACAGGCGCACAAGAATACCAATGAAACAACATCAATAGAACTATGAGTGACATCTGGGTTTTTATGTTTAAAATGTTAAAAACAGACAGCTAAAGATAAATTTGTAGATTATCGATATTTGACAGTAAAGATTTAAATTTATATCTATATAAAATAAAAGGTATTTCTTAATTTTTCTTTGAAGTATATGTATTTTTTTCCATAAATCTGTTGTATTTTTTAACGAAAACAATAAATTCGTATGTAGTGTTGTCACTTGTTGGCTCAATATTTACATCGATTTTCCATTTTTGATTTATGATATTATTGAAAATTGTTGAATATCGATCTTTTCTAGTCAACTCTTCATAATCTTTATGTCATTCTTCTGTCTTTTTATTTTCTTCAGCTATTAATCGTATCATAGTATTTTATTATGCATTTCTACTTTATATTAACTTGATTGATCTGAAGGAAATTTTTTTTGTCATGTCTAGCTTTGATTCGAGCGAATTAGTTGGTTTCTTTTGTTATGAGTTTGTTTAGTGGTTATCGATCGATTTCTTATTTTTTGTCGAAAAGCGAAGTATTGCAAAGAAGAGAGCTGAACACATGCGACTAAGAGTATCACAAATATCGTATAAATTGTTCGAACCACGAGTACGTACTTGTACTTGCTTAACTCTGCAAATGAAGTCCACTTTCAACTATTACATGAACACTGATCATCTGTTTCATTGTCTGAAAAAATCGTATGATTCCATGTTTTGTATTTTCTGATTTAATGTCGTCGATTTCATCTAATAATACTCGTTCAATATTATCTAATCTTGCTTCCAAAAATTGAGAGATATACTTCATTGTCAATAGCTCAAGAAAGTGTAATGACGTTATAAGTTATTCAATTTTCTTTTTTTTAATATAATATGTATTTCATATAGTATTTATGACAATAACTTCAAATGTAGGTAAATCTTCAAAACAAATTATGATTGCGATATTTTGTCAAAATTTACAAGAGCTTATCTTATGTAATTCTCATCATGGTGTAAGAAGTGATAATTGTGCAAAAACTATTTCACTACCAATGATATTCCATATTGCAAAGTTGTAAACTTTGCATGTATTTGTGACAAATACGGGAATACACTTCAATGACATTTTAATTCATTATCGTTACTTATTCTTGTATCGTGATATAAGAACAAGTCGAAAAATATTTTGATACATTTTTATATAGCTTTGATTTTAAGTATTGGATAAAAAGTTGATTTGTTCTTTATATTTATCTGTAATTTTTATATCATCTCCAGATTCTTTCGAAAAAAAGATCATCATTAATAAACATATCTCACCAGTGATGCCTTTGATGTCTTGCAACCGAGATATTGCACTATTGCAGTATTCTTTAAATAAATATCGTGATAACAGAAAAATGATATTCGAATTTAGATTCGAAAATTTGCAAATTAATGAGAATATGTTTTTGTGAATGTTTTAAGTCTTGTCGCTGTTTCTATCCTAAGACAGAATTATGACAATAGCGTGTCTTTTACGTCACTCATAGAAATCAACAGATTTGATACTCTTATTTTAGAATAGAAGCAAATCAAAAGATCTGAAACTAATCTCGTTAAGGCTTGTCTCTATGCAACGTTTCAAGTCGAAATTGGAAACAATTTTCCGTTACCAGCGCATTTATTCAACAAATACCGTGAAAGTGCAGTATCTCTGTAGCAAAAACTAACAGTACGAACTCTTTTCAGAGTATTTATAGTTCATGTGCATCTATATAGTGCACATAGTTTCGACTCAAAAGCAACTGAGAAGTTGGAGAATTTCGCTTTTCAGTGTTTATATTGTATGAAATCATTTGTTTGATTATTTCAACAGATCGATCTTCATGTTTTTGTTAAGCAATGTTGATTTCTTTTATAATTGAATAGATAAGAATATTTCAATAGAATACTATGTGCAAGTGAGATAGCTTCTGTAGAGTTATGCATAGTAAAGATCCGTGAAACAAGCAAATTGAAATCAGAACAGCGTAGAGTCCAGCGGGTTCAAAATTTTCCAGCCCAAAACTGGACCCGAATCAGACAGGCTCTAGACCAGAGACAATAAGGTCTAAAAATCAATGGTTATTTATATTTGTAAATAGTTGTCATTTACGCCTATACATTATGTCATAAGTATATTTTATTCCAAGAATGTACAAACGAGTCAGAAGCTTAAAGCAACTTAATTCTTAGTTTAAAATTGAAAACACCACATTCTAGTTCTCCACCTTCTCCTTTTTGAACTTCTTATTGAAATCAAAGAATAATTTTTATATTATTAAGGAGATATCATAATCAGATAAAGAATGTTCGGACGATGTATAGCAACAAAAAGAATGCAGAAATATTTCAATACAATGCGTTTATTATTTGTTATCAATTAATGAAAATATTTTCGATTGTTTAAATAATACGAACATTGCGTGGCTCAACAGTAAAAGTAACAGAATCAAGTTGATTGCAAACATATGCATAAGCCAATTGACGTGGAGGAAGAGCAAACTCACAACTACCTTCATAACCTATTCCAAATACAAATAAATATACTATTCATACTTCCATAACATTAAACAAAGAGCAGAAATCATTTTTCTGATTCTATCGAAATTCTTCACGTTTCCATAAAGAAAGTTATAAATTCAAAACTATTAGATTCGTAAATATTTCTTACGAAAATGACCAAAGACATCATCATCAAATATATTACAACAATCACCATATATTTGAAATCCACCGTTTCTAAAAGTTGTTGGTATATTATAACAATTTTGATCACGTTCGCCTGTCAGAATTACATTTTTAGTTGCTTCTATGATGGTTTTTTCACTTAAAAGACGCTTTCGTTTCTTCCCATTTTCATTGATATCACCAATAAGTAAATAATAAATACGAGCTAAAGATCGAACATTTGTAATTCCATTGACAGTAGACATTTGTGCGCGATGAAGTCGAGTCTCATTAAATATCACCAATGATCTTCCCAAACGGAAAGCACCACTACATAAGAATGATTTCTCAGTTTGTAACTCCATTGAACGTACATTACTTGTATCAACCTTGAAAATAAAAATTTCTAGCTGTTTAATATACTAATCAATTTACTTCTTTACGAGTGACAGGAGAAACACGTGCTTCAACTATATCATTAGATTTGTCCACATAAAATTCACCATCTAATTCGTCACGAGCAAATTGTCCGTATGTATAATGATGAAGATCAACACGGTGAATTAATTCACCAGCAGTAAATTCTATTGTATGACTATGATATCCATGAGCTGTATCAGGTTTCCAATGAGGTTTTTGTACAGCTAATAATGACGTCATTCGAGACCAATTATACGTATTTTTAACTGTAAGTTATTCATCACTAAATGGTATATTAGCTCCATGTGCCAATAGATCACCGACTATAATATTCTTCAAAGATATATAATACTGACAAATATGTTTTACAAATAAATTTGACCTGTTTTTCATTAGAAGCGAATTCTGGTCAATATTCTGCAATAGGTACATCATAATCAAGCCAACCTCTTTTCACACATAATTCTATAGCTGCAGCTAATATTCCTCTTGATGTTGAAAAAATTAATTGTAATATATCAGACGTATAAGACTCTTTTTTCGTTTGTGTATCTTTTCAACCGTCGTATAAATCAACAGCATCTTCTTCTCGATAATAAATACATAAACTTGCTCCAACATCAAGTCCATCGATTAAGTTTTGCTTGAAAGTAGAACGTACCTTCTCTCAACCGTGTGCTACATATCCATATATGTAACTGTTGTCATCGTTTACCGTCAATGACATTATCCAGTGTGTATATTTACAATAAAAGGCTTTTTGCTTACTATTTCAGCATATCGTTGTATAGTTATTATCTATTTCTTTGTCGTTAATCGCTGAATAATGAAGCCAACTGCATAAACTATTACGTATTTTTTGTTTCAATTGAATAAACACGTTGTGTTTGTGCACGAATAGTAATCTCAATCATGATTATGCTTAAAAGCTAACATATTATAATTATATCTTATTTTCAATAAAAACAAAATAGGCTAATTTGAAATTAAAATCATCAAATTGATAGTATCCATCAGAGATCGAAGCAGTATCGGTGCGGATTTCAAATCAGTCGATGTGTCTTATTAATTTCTTTGCTTTTACGATTACGTTCATGTGTAGGGACTAATTAGATTAGAATAGCCTCAAAATGGTTTGTGTTCTTATTGAGATTTGGACAAGATATCGAAGTTTTAGTGGATTTTTCCTGCAGGAAGGTGAGTTTTGTAGCCAAATCATATCTTTGAATTTCGATATGAAACTCAGTCAACATGACGGTCTTACCTAGACTAGCTGAAGTAAAAAATCTCATCATTTTGGAACAATGTACTTCCGAGATATGAATATTTCAAAACAAAACCACTGTCGTTAAATACTCTGCAACATGCATATTTCGAAAGGTTCATATTTTAGAAATGCATTACCAAAAAAATGATGAAACTTTTTACTTGAGCAAGTCTAAGCAAGGCCTTCATGAGTGATAAAATTTCAGGTCAAATCTTAATAAGAACACGAACTTTTTGGATATTATTCTAATTTAATTTAGTCCCTGCATATGGGCATAATAAATAAAGAAGAAGCAAATCACCTGAGAATGTTCCCTCGTTAGTATCTTATAGAGTATGTGTAATGAAACTCTGTTGAAAGTGAAAGTTTGTCAAAAATCATAATCACATATGAAATATTACAACAACTCTTCAATTCAGTATCAGTATGGATTTCAGACTGACCGGTGCCGATAATGGTCGTGAAAAATTCAGATTAGTTTTATCCCCGGTAAAAGTAACAAAACTGTATGGTCATTACAAATTTGTCACGATTAGTTTGTTTCAAAAATTGTGATATATGCGAATGTCATATCAATTAGTTCAGACAGAGCTAGAGATTATTTTCAATAATATCATTTAAAGAAAGTATAATTTAAAAATATTTATTCATTTCGGAATCTTATCGTATGCAAAATCTTATAGAAAAAGAATTCGTTAATTAATCGATTATGTTCCAGATTTGTTTGATTCTCGATAATTGAAATAGGATTGGAGTTCACAATCTAATCAAATGGCAGAATTAACTTGATCATTGTCAATCTTTGAATATAGACACAAATAATTTATCAATGACAGTCATTCTCTCTCTTCATCTACTTATCATTAAAATTAAAGACATAATGTCCAGCTATTAATACTAATAGATTATTCATCCTTTCGAAAACATAGACGACAATGATGTTTGGATTTTATCCATTTTTTTTTTCTTTTCGTTCGTTCTATTTATTCTATCATATGTTATAAAGAGTTTGATATCCAACTAATAAAAGAATGACTATATACAATAGTACTACATCGACATTTTATCGTTATTATCATCATCGAATTGAATCGATTAATGAACCAACAGCTATAAATGATTTAACATCAATAGATTATGATCCAATTGGTGCTGCTTATTTTATTATTATTGTTCTATTATGGTATTCCATAAGTGTTATTTTTATGTTAGGAATGCGAATTCGTACTCGTAGTGAAATAATTGAAGATTGTGTACAACGTCGAGTAAAATTATTTATTAAAACACTTCGAGATCAAACACAAACTAAACAAATTCTTGGTATAAATTTTTTGTATTTAAACAAGAAATAACCATTTTATAATATTAATCTTTTATTTTAAGAAGAACTTGTTGATAAACAAAAACGTGATAAACTTTGGAATATTTATTTCGGTAAAACATATAATAAAAAACATAAATTAAAACATGCTGAAATTCTTCGAATAAAAAATATTAAAAAACAATTAACTATTATTAATCATCATCATATGATTATGAATGATACATTTATATCTCCAATTGTAAATTCTTGTATCTATCGTCGATCATCAAATTCTCGATCAAAGTTTATTTCAAAACTTTCATCAAATGTAAATCAAAAATGTATTCGACGTTGTTCATCATTTGATCGACAAATAATTCAACATTGGAAATCAATTATTGATCAAAATAAAGCACATGAACAACAAATACCATGGACTATTAAAAAAGTACTTATACATCGTTATTTTCGACGATATTATCAAAATTCATCAATAAATACACCTACAATGGAATCATTATTAGCTCATCAACCTATACAAACTATTGATGATAAACAAAACCATTTATTATCATCATATACAAAAATTAATAATAATTCACATCAAATAATAAGAAAAACAAATGAACCATTAAATCCATATATAACGTATTTTCATTTACCAATAAATGAAAACTTTAAAACAAATATTCAAAATTTGTCACTTGTTAATGTGAAATTGAATCATCATATTATTCAAATGAGTCATGATGAATCTCAATGGTAATTTTTAAAAAAAGAATTATAATTTGCATTTTTGTAAATTTTTTTTTAAGTATTAAATAAAACAATTTTTATTAGTTAAGAAACAAATTCTTTTATTATAGATGCTTAGAAAAGAATTGATTTTCTTAAACATAATAATCTTTTCATTGTGTTTTACCGACAACTTTCATTATCGATAAACTGTCATATTTTATTGGTATCAAAAAGGCTATTCCATAAAATGATATTAATCAAGCTATCATCATATCTGTAGGATTTTAATCGCTTGCAACGTAAACTAATTCGAAAATTAGTTTCTATAAATATACCTTAAATTTCTTGGAAGAAAGAAACTGAGAATCCTTTGGCATCCGGTCCCGGTTGGTAACGTTCAACGGTCCCCAAAATATCACGTGGAATCAAAACTGTTAGAATCATCAGATATATCCCGAAAAATGAAAACTAGTTTGAGAAACTCCCACTATTAAAAAAGAAGTCACATGATTCAGTACGTGAACCAAGTAATGTTATAGAATGGATGGAAAAAGGCAGAAAGGAAAAATGTCGAAAGGGAAAAATATCGAAAATAAAAATGTCGAAAACAAGAATATGAGGTGAAAATGAACATGTAAGATTGGAGGCGGGGGTAAGAAAGATTTCTACTTCAACATACTCTCGTTTTCAGTATTTCTATTCATCTACATTTGTAATATTTTTGCTTTCGATATTTNTCGAAAGGGAAAAATATCGAAAATAAAAATGTCGAAAACAAGAATATGAGGTGAAAATGAACATGTAAGATTGGAGGCGGGGGTAAGAAAGATTTCTACTTCAACATACTCTCGTTTTCAGTATTTCTATTCATCTACATTTGTAATATTTTTGCTTTCGATATTTTTCCTTTCTGCCTTTTTCCACCATATCATATTATACATATACACTGAAGTCTGTAATCTCAACAATGAAAAAATGAAGATTTCACGAAACAGGTTTAAGGATTTTTGTATCTATTTGATGATTTAACGGCTCTGGTTTCATGAAAATTTAAAACGTCGATTCCGGATCCAGAAGTTTAACTTTTCTCGATTTCGAATCCACAAAAACGTGAATCTACAGTTTCCGACTTGAAAGTTCATAAGCATCTTCGTCATTACAGTATTATTAATAAGAACTACAGCATGTAATGATGACAAAGTTTTCGTAATTTTATTATCTTTTTATAAAGTAGAATTTTCATCAGATGATGAAAATTCCGACGGCATGATTTGAGCATGAACTCTTTTAGCCGTACAGATAATATGGAGTCACGACTCATGAGAAACTTGTTTATCTTCCTTTAATTGACACATTTTGTTCTTCTGATAATATCAAGGTTTGACAAAATTACGACGCAAACATTATTACACTGTGAAAAAACGACACCATTATATTGTCGTGTTCCACAATAGAAGTGTGGAAAATTGATGACTATTTTCAAGTGAAAGTACGTTCCGTGAAATAAGATGATCAATTACAACGAAATACAATGAAAAGTCATGCAGAAGATACATGAATATTGTTGTTTTGTCGATTACAATCTCTTTAAGAATTTTCATAATATGATTAATCGAGATATTGTGTCATGTAGATGTCACTCTATACCACATGTAATTCTTTGACATGGTCAATTGGTTCATATTTATATCTAATAGAATATTGGATGAAGAAATGAAGAATACAATTGCTAAACTAACTTTGAAAGCAGTACGTAATATGAATTCTATTCATTTCATATTGAAATGCACTGTAATGATATGAATAAGAGAAAATATGAGTTATATAACATCAAAATATAAATCATATATATACATATATATCTGATTACGCAACATTTTATTTTGTAGATTATGTCTATTCATTTGTTTAAAGTCAAACGATATTTAACTCCTGTTCATCAATGTGTTAGATATTCATCATCATTAACGAAATGGCATCAAGTTTCTGTAAATTTTCAAGGAATTTATTCCTAATCTAACTTAATATTTTTCAGAGATTATTTAGCAATTTATCAAATTCAACATCTGCTATTGCTCATCGTCTAAATACAGTTGTACCCAAAGGTTTTGAAAAATACTTTCCGGGCGGTGGTGGTAAAGGGCCTCAACCAAAAGAGCCGAGTATTCATTTTTCATATTCTTACAAACAAATTCATCATTTTATTTTTATTCAGATGGAAACCAACGTCCACCAGCTCCACCAAAAGAACCTGCTCCTGGTGAACGACCACCGGAAGGTGGTCAACCTAAACCACCTACACCAGGCCCAAGTCCTGGTGGTCGTGGTGCACCAACTCCACCCCCATCAAGTGGTGGTAGTTGGCGTGGTTTAGAATTTAAATTTACACCAGGTGATAAAAATTCATTGTTTAACAATCGTACAGGTCTTGCCATACTTATTGGTAGTGGCATAGCTGCTTATTTTGCATATAATAATACATTATATAGAGAAATAACATGGAAAGATTTCGTTTCACAATATTTACTTAAAGGATATGTGAGTTAGATTTCCATTCAAGACCAAAAAAACTTCATTATTTTAATTGAATTGTTTATTTTTTTGTTTGTTTTAGGTAGATAAACTTGAAGTAGTTAATAAAAAATGGGTTCGTGTAAGACTTCTTCCTGGTGCACCTGATTCAGTTGTAAAAATAGATATTTGATTATTTTGTTTTCCTATTATTTATTTTCATTTTTATTAAATAGAATAGTTTATGGTTTGCTATTGGATCAGTTGATTCATTTGAACGTAATCTTGAAAATGTTCAAACAGAACATGGTATTGATGCTGGAGGTTATGCACCAGTTTTATATAAAACCGAAGCTGATGCTGGTACATTAATGAGTGCTGCATCATGGGTATTACCTATTATTTTCTTTGTTTGGTTATTTCGACGAGCTGGTTCAGCAATGGGACAAATGGGTGGAATGGGAGGAAAAGGATCTAGTGGAATATTTGGAATAGGAAATACTACAGCACGAATTGTTAAAGAGAATGTTGGTACATCATTTAAGTAAGATTTTATTTAGTTTTAAATAAAAAAAAAACTATCTAATGAGAAGAATATTTGATATATTTATATAGAGATGTAGCTGGTTGTGAAGAAGCTAAACTTGAAATCATGGAATTTGTGAACTTCTTAAAAAATCCACAACAATATCTTGATCTTGGAGCTAAAATTCCTAAAGTAAGTGATTTATGAACTAACTAGAGAATCTCTCCAGGTGTCAAATCGATTTTTCACCCAGATATGCTTCATTTGATGAATAGTAGAACCAAAGATACGAGATACTTGTTTTTCGTCTTTTTTTTTCTATTCGGTGACTAGTACATCTTACACATTACTGAGATGAGTCGTTCGACAAATGTGTATGGTAGTGCTCATCAGGTTCGAAAGTTTCAGATTCGGAACTAATCCGATGGACTCTATTGAGAATGTGAATAAAGAGAAGAATCACTCTCACAGCCACAGTCTCGATTGCAGCAATAAGCTATGTTTAATAAGTAAACGTGAAACGAGTAAGCAACTTTTTTTCTTGTCTGTCTAGTCTTAAAGATTGTATTGATTTTAAGATAGTGGATGTTACAAAGTACATCGAGGTATCAGATCCAAAATTTAAAGCACTTTTCGACTTTTCTACGGTTAATTACAGCTTTTTGTTGAAAGACCTAGTACAATTTCGATATCTCAAGAATGAAAGCTCGAAAAACCAAACCATTCTAGATTTTTCTATTACTCATCAAATAAACATTGTCGTAGTTGAAAGGCGAATTAACACTTGGAGAGATATTCTGATAAGATCTTTTTCTTTACATTCATGTTTTAATATAGGGTGCTATACTTACTGGACCTCCAGGCACAGGTAATCTACTCGAATATTTGAAACAATGATCTATTAAATTCATTTAGGCAAGACTCTATTAGCAAAAGCTACTGCTGGTGAAGCTGGTGTTCCATTTATCACTGTATCCGGTTCGGAATTTCTTGAAATGTTTGTTGGTGTTGGTCCATCTCGAGTTAGTTTATTTGTTTTATTTAATATAAAGTTTTTCTTTTTCATATGAATTGAATTAAGGTTCGTGATATGTTTGCATTAGCACGTAAAAATTCACCATGTATTTTATTTATTGATGAAATTGACGCTATTGGACGAAAACGAGGTGGTCATTCAATAGGTGGTCATAGTGAACAAGAAAATACATTAAATCAACTTTTAGTTGAATTAGATGGTTTTACACCACAACAAAATGTTATTGTTTTAGCAGCAACTAATAGAATGGATATTTTGGATTCAGCTTTATTACGTCCTGGTAGATTTGATCGACAAATATTTGTTGGTCTACCAGATATAAAAGGACGTGCTAGTGTATTTAAAGTTCATTTAGGACGTTTAAAAACCTCATTAGATAAAAATCAATTATCAAAAAAATTATCAGCTCGAACACCAGGATTTTCAGGTTGATTATTTATTCACCAACATTTCAAAAAATATTAAAATGATATATATATATATATATATTCTAGGCGCTGATGTAGCTAATGTTTGTAATGAAGCAGCACTTATAGCAGCACGTGATTTAAATAATGAAATTGAAATGAAACATTTTGAATCTGCTATTGATCGTGTTATTGCTGGTAAATTATCCAAAAATTAATTTTCTTCATAAAAATTTGTTTCTATAGGTATGGAGAAAAAATCTCAAGTTTTACAACCTGAAGAAAAGAAACAAGTTGCATTTCATGAAGCTGGTCATGCTGTATGTGGCTGGTTTTTAGAACATGCTGAGCCTATTATAAAAGTGTCAATTATTCCACGTGGTAAAGCACTTGGTTATGCACAATATATGCCTAAAGAGCAATATTTATATACCAAAGATCAAGTAAAGAAAAACAAAGAACATTCTTCTTCTGTTTGTGATACAGAAAATAATTTTATTTTGAATGTAGTTATTTGATCGTATGTGCGTTATGCTTGGTGGTCGTGTAGCTGAACTCTTATTTTTTAATCGTATATCAACAGGTGCACAAGATGATTTACAAAAAATTACACAATCAGCTTATGCACAAGTTGTTCGTTTTGGTATGTCAGAAAAAGTTGGTTATGTTTCATTTGATATGCCACAACAAGGTGATATGGTTTTTGATAAACCATATTCCGAAGCAACAGCACAATTAATTGATGATGAGGTTCGAGCAATAATAAAACGTGCTTTTGATTTTACAGTTGATTTATTAACATCAAAAAAAGAACTTATTGAAAAGGTAGCATTACATTTATTAGAACGTGAAATTTTATCACGTGATGATATGATTGAATTAGTTGGAAAACGACCATTTAAAGAAAAAACTACTTATGAAGAATTTGTTGAAGGAACAGGTAAGGAAAAAAAAACTTGTTTTTTTTTTCCAAAAAGGAAAAAATCTTTTTACGATTTTTAATTTAGGCTCATTAGAAGAAGATACAACATTACCAAAAGGTTTACAAGATTGGAATAAAGATCGACAAAAAGAAAAAGAAGCTAAAGAAAAAGAAGTTAAAGAAAAACAGCAAGCATCGAACTGATATAGAAAGAAAAATTTTAGAATAACGTTTTTCTTTTTCTGTCATACAAGTGTTTTTTTTTTTATTAATATAAATCCTTGTTGTGTCTATACTTCTTTTACACATTGTCGAGATTGGATGTACGTATTTGTAGGATTTTTCCCTTGAAAGGATGAACCGAGTACTTCTATCCGGAAATTAAACACTCAGGTAATCAGTGAACTTTATCCTAATCCATTAAGTTAAACTAATAGCGTTGCGTAGAATGAAGAGAAAAAGTCAAAGAATATTTTATTAGATTCATCCGTAGTCACTAATCTTACACACGCTTTGAAAACCAAAATTAAAGGAACATAGCGACATGTATACATTCACATGTTGGAATGGTTTTACATTTATATTAAAGATAAACTTTCTGTTTTTTTTCCTCTTTTAATAACAGGAAAAAAACAATATGATGAATCATCGTCATGAAAGAACTTCTCTATCTAATTAATTTTTTTTTTCTCATATCCTGAAGAGGATCATAATAATTTCCTTTATGTTTTTTAGAAGAATATAACACAAAAAATTTCATTAACGGAAATAAGAATTTATTTTCGATATTACAATGGATCCATCATCTGATAATTCTAAATTATCATTTATAAGTCGTCATTATTTGATTCTTAAAACTCATTATTTTTTATTTTTTTCTGCATTTGGTGTTATATTTCCAATATTAAATTTAACTTTACGTTCTCATGGTCTTTCAAATACGGAAATTTCAGTATCAAATACAATTCTTAAATTTTTTATTTTTCTAACAAATCCATTAATGGGTTTTATTGCTGACAGGTCTCGTCGTTGTCTTCTAACGTTTAATAGTCTATTAGTTATTTATAGTATTGCATTTACTATTTTATTTTTATTACCGCATATTCAATCACATCATATTCAAGCTGATTTACATTATTTAAAACAATCAGAACATGTACTAGATTTTTGTGCAAGTCAAGAAGTAGTAACAAAATGTTCATCAAGATCTGAATGTGGTTGTTCTTATCAAGCATATTGTCAAAGACAAGACTTATTATTTAATTTTACATTTACAATGAATTCATATAATGTGCAAAAAAGATTGAAAGATGCTTTAAATTCTCAATGTGGTATTGAATATCGAGTACCAATTTTACTAGAAAATAAATCAGGTTAGTTAAATCTTTTATAAAGAAATAAAATAATTTTTTTTCTCAAGATTTTCCAAATTTATCGATGATGAAATGTCAAATAACTTGTTCAATTCCATTTTTTTGTCATGGCATACGATATCAAAAGCAAATAATTTACGTTGTTCTCTATGCTGTTTTATATATCATCGGCTATAGTTTACTTGCAGCTGCAAATGCTATGGGTGCATCAATTGGTTTTGCAAGTTTACCACGTGCAGATTTATTTGGAAAACAACGTGTTTGGGGTACGATTGGTTTTGGTATCATAGCTTTTACTACAAGCCGTATTTATGAATTATTTCGTAGTGAATATGTTTATGTAATTATGTTTAATTTTATTACATTTTTGACAATTATTGCAACAAGTTTTGTTCCCATACATAAACATGAAAAGAAAACTAACGAAAAAAAATCAAAACTTAATTTATCAACACTTATATTATTATCTAAAAATATCGATGTAATGATTTTTCTTTCAATAACATTTCTTTGGGGAATGTGTTATGGTTGTTTACATCCGGTAAAATAAAAATAGAATTTTACCTTTTATCTATCTATCTATATATATATCTTATAATGTTTCTTTTTTCAGTATATGGCTTTATATGTTGATGAAATAGCTCCATGTCAATCACGTTCTATTATTGGTTACATGTTTTTTATAGCATCAGTATCTGAAGTTATAGCTTTTTATTCTTCGAAAAGAGTAATAAAATTTCTTGGACCTAATCTATCTTCAATTATGATTTTTTTGGCATTTGCTGTTCGATTTGGTGGTTATTATTTTATACCAGAACCGTATTATTTTATACCATTAGAAACAACGCATTTTTTTTGTTTTGGTATTCTTTATGTATTAATTGCTCAAAAAGCAGATCTCATTGGTAAAAGAAAAATTTTTTGTCAATGAAAATATTTATTTTATTATTATTTATTTTTAGCACCGTCTGGACTTTCTAGTACGTTACAAGGAATTGCTCATGGCATTATACACGGTTTAGGTAATATTTAATATTGAAAAATTGAAATTATATTTTCTTTTAGTGATAATTTCTATATTCGTTTGTATGAATATATTTTATGTAATAATTTATTTAGATCGTTTTTCTCAATTAGATATATCGTTGGATTAAATTAATTGAGAAATGAAGAATAAATGTTTTGATAAAGATTGATTATTGAGAGTTCAAGAAAAAATCTTCACTGAAATTGAGTCGAATATAATTTTCGGAATATAACAATTCATAATGAACAATGAAGAAGGAAGTTTTATTAGATTTAATTAAGTGGAAACTTTATAAGAAGATTTAATATGTTACCCGAATAAAAAAAAATTATTGTTCGATTATCATAGAAAAATTTCTATCATGTGATGAATACTAAATATTTTTGTGATCAAATTTCTGATCGCATAAACTTCTGTTTTATTGTGGTGAATTAGAAATAATTATTTATCAATGGAACTATGAACAACTATTAGTATCCGAAGAAAAGATATGCAAATGATGTCAACAAATTGACGAATATCAATTGATATATTTTTGTATCGACTTACTCAAGAAAATATTTTCCCGTAGTTCGAGACAACTGATTGATGTAAAAGACAATGTTTAACATATTTATTCAAGAGACCCATAGACTTAGCAATTTATCAACAATAAAATATCATATGTCATTCTTCTAGGTTGTGGCGTTGGTTTACTTGTGTCGTCATATATTTATATTGCTATTCAACAACGTCTTCTTTTTCTTGTCTTTGCTATTCTGAATATCATTGCTGCTATTTTTTATTCAATTTATTTTTTATTAGCACATAAAAAATCTTCAATTAAAAATGTAATTGTATCAACTAATAATAACATTGTAATCGAAGAAGGTAATTTTATTTATTAAAGAAAAGAGTGAATATATATGTCATTTAGATGGAAATTTAAATCAAGAATCTCTACCATCATTACCAATGATGGCGACAAATAACAGTGAAAATAAGCAGGGGGCAAATTGAATCATGTGGTGTTTTGCTTATGCTTATGCGTTATTAGATCTTTGACAAGAAAAGCGCAACAAGAAAATAATTTTCAAATTTCTTTTTTTTATTCATTATTCGTAGAATCTAGCACATTCGTTTATATGTATGACAAGTAGACATCGATATTACATTGTTTTTTTATATAATCGAAATAAATACTATAGATATTTACTCGTAGCTTTTATACTTCCTGGCTGTTGTTATTTACTTCATTTCTTAAAGTATTAGTGGGAACATTTTCAAGAAAGAAATATGTCATTATTTTTTGCACATTTATCATAGAAAGGTACATCGAAATATGGAGAAATGTCTCCTAAATAATTTATAGAAATGATTTGCATTATAATTTAAGTGTGAAATTTATGACAAAAATATATTCGCATATAAATAGATATCTGTTCGAATAATGTTAAATATATAAATATTTTTAATAGAAAAATTAAATTACGGTAACAGTGCAGTTTTTGATTAGCATATTTGCTACATTTTTAAAAATTCATTATGATGGATTTGATAAGTTGAAATATTGAACTAGAGTCTAACGGAATATATTATTTGATTTCTAAAACAAGTTTAAAAAAACTACTTAAATGAAATGTTTTTGATTATTTCAGCTAGAATTATCTTCAAGTTATACGATTTAATATAAACCTAGGTATTAAAGTTATTGATTAGTGTTTTTTCTTATAAATCTTATAATTTTCTTTTCCTTATAAACACAAACATTGCATGATAGCGCACAGATGAAGTAATTATTTTTCGCTTCATTGCTGTTACTATTCTTTGCATGCGTACACATATTTGTTGATTTATTTTTTAAGAGTACAGGAAAAAATAAGGGTGAAAGGACATCCATACAGTTCAAGTAAAAATAATGTCTGTTTGTTCTTTAGTTCATATTTGTTTCCTGGTAGAGGATTATTGATGTTATAGTGCATTATCATCATGAAAAGTACTATGATGAGACATTTCTTCTTCTTTTTATTGAAGTATACGTCTTTAAATAACGAAAATAATTGAATTTAGCAATATTTGCTTTTCTCTTATTCCTTCTGTAAAAAGTTAATCCCTATCCGAGAAGACGGAAGGAACACATATAGTGCAGTTGTCTGCTTTTTTTTTCTTCAATGTGCGCGCTTATGCAAAATGTTTGTCAAGAAAGAAAAAAGCGACAAGAACATGTTCCGTTGTTATTCCTACTATATGAAGTCCCAATAAAACATGACGTCTGACTCTATTTGATTAAGTGAGTATTTCAGCAAATTTACACCTGCAAATCGTCATACATCATTAGTACTGCTATTTAATTACCAAAAATATAAAAACAAAAATGGTAACCGGTACAACACTATTATTTCTTATTTAAAAAATAAAAAAGTAAAAAGTAAAAACAAGATACTATTGACTCATTTTCAAGAGTAAGCTTAGTACTATTTATATAAGGCTATAGCCAATACTCGAATTGGTTCTGTTTTTATGATTATCATTAAGCTTGTATGGAAGGATAAAAAAGAACATCATAAATCACATTTACAACCAGGCACCTAAGCCCAATGTATATTTGAATAGCTCTTTTTTTCTCTCTCTTCAAGGCATTTCAATATATGATAACTGAATTAGATAAATGATTATTTCGACCAGATTCTTTATTCTGCATTTTTTCGTGTTCTTCATTCTTTATCATAAAAAATGTCGACATGATTAACAAATGGATTAAAAATTTGCGTTCATAGGAGACCATGATGGCCTAAGTTTATCAGTTAGTTCGTTTCTTTCATAATTTTCTTTGTGTGTATAGATAAGAACCAAATTTTTGACGATAACACAATGCCTGTTTTAACAGAAGATTTTTTTTCTTCTTTTTTTCTTGTTTTTTGACCTTGATACTTCTTTTTCCCTATATAAAGAGCGCACTACACAACGGTTTCTTCTTTCTTCTCTTCGAATAGAATAGAGAGTAGCATACAACGATCATTATTGTGCAACTTCTCATCATTGCTTTTTTTCCGTCTCGTTTATGCTAGAATTGCACAGACATGTAGCTTACGATTACTAGCTAGAAGTATATTATGCTAAATAACGTATATATTAATTAGAAGAATACTTTATTTATTTTTCTTCAGATATGAACAAAAATTAAAAGAAAAAAAAAGAAAACAAACAACATGGAATCACCGTCAATGTTAGCACCAACGACAAATGTCGTTAGTGCATCTTCATCGTTACCATTTGTTCATCGGTATTATGTTCTATTAAAAGCACATTATTTTCTTTTCTTTTCGGCTTTTGGTATACTGTATCCAATATTAAATATAACATTACGTAGTCGTGGTTTATCAAATACAGAAATTGCATATACAAATTTAATAATTCCGTTTTTAGTCTTTTTTACAAATCCATTACTGGGTTTTGTTGCTGATCATTCGCGTCGTTATTTATTAACATTTAATTGTATTCTTGTTGCAACAACACTTTTATATAGTTTTATGTTTATTTTACCAGCAATTAAATCACATAATATTGAAGCTACTATTGCTTATGATGATACATTAGGTCATGTATTAGATTTTTGTGCTAGTCAAGAAGTAGCAACTAAATGTTCATCAAGATCAGAATGTGGATGTTCTTATACATCATTATGTCAGAAACAAAAATTGCCATTTAATTTTTCATTTACAATGAGTTCAAAAGATACTCGTCAAACCTTAACATCTTCAATTGATATGAGTGAATTATCAACATGTGGAATTCAATATCGAGTACCTGTTGATAAATTTATACAAAATTATACTTCAAATCTATTAAGAAATAATGAAAATAGCCATGTATTAGCTATTTGTGAAATAACTTGCTCAATAGCACATTATTGTCATGGAATCCGTCATTCTCAACAAGCGCTTTACGTTCTTCTTTATTCACTTATATTTGTTATTGGTACAGATCTTATTTCAATAGGAATAACTGTTGGAGCATCAATTGGTTTTGCTACATTACCACGACCTGATATATTTGGAGAACAACGTGTTTGGGGTACAATTGGTTTTGGTTTGTCAGCTTTTGCTGCTAGTCGTCTTTATGAATATTTTAAAACAGACTTTGTTTATATTATTATGTTTGCTGTAACAACAATTATATGTATTTGTGTAACAAGTTTTATTCGTATACAACCTCATAAACGACGACAAAAGAAAACAAATAATAATATAAGAAATAATGAACGAGAAATAGATGATACTATTATAAAAAATACTGCAATAGAAAAGAAGAATAAAGATACACTTCGATCCAAAGCAGCCGCACTTATTCCTTTACTTAAAAAAGTCGATGTTATGGTTTTTTTTTCACTTACATTCATATGGGGAATGTCTTATGCAGCTCTTGATCCCGTATGTATTTTTGTTTCTATTCTTTAGAACACTTTACTGAAATAGAATTTAAAAATATCTACTATTAACCTCATATTCTCTAGTATCAAATAAATCAAGTAGTTCATTTCCGGAGTACCAAATATTGTTTACCCTGAATAGTAACAAAAAGGGAGTGAGAAAGACTATTTGTATGAAAAAAAAGAAAATAAGTTTTTATTAAGTACACTTAGTCCTAATGAAAAAAAAATGGATAAAGTAAATACTCATATTATTGTACCTGTCATGAGACTAAGTGATAATAAAATTTATAATTTGTTAATAATAGTATTTTATTTTCGTTTAGTATCTATATTTATATATTGATGAAATAGCTCCATGTGAATCACATTCTATTGTTGGTTGGATGTCATTAATATCTGCATCAGCTGAAGTCATAGCTCTTTTTCTTGCTGGACGAATGCTTAAATTAATAGGTATGAATGCATCTTCAGTAATCATTTTAATAGCATTCACAATTCGATTTGCTGGTTATTATTTTATTCGTCGACCTTATTTTCTATTATTTATGGAAACAATGCATTATTTTAATTTTGGTATTCTCTATGTACTAATTGCTCAAAAAGCAGATGCCATTGGTACATAAGAAATATTATTCTAACAGAAAAAATAAATAAATAAATAAATTTTATTTTTTTTATTATAGCACCACCAGGACTTGCTGGCACATTACAAGGTGTTGTCTATGGAGTTTCGTTTGGTTTAGGTATGCTATTTAAATAAAAGTCTTTTGAATATTTTTGTTAGTAAAAATTTACAATCGTAGGTCGTGGCGTTGGCTTAATCGCATGCTCATTTATATATACACGTACTCAATCAAGACTTTTATTTTTAGTATTTGCAATATTTGATGCAATCGCTGCCATCATCTATAGTATTTATTTTTTTCTCAGAGCAAAATTCGGAAAGAAATCTAATCAGTTGAATAATAATATGAATATACCCAAAATTGTTATTGAGTCTGGTAAATATATAAAAAAATCCTCGTTATATTATTTCACATTAAATAATTTATTTAATCTTTTCTATAGAAACAAATATCAACGAAGAGCCTTTATTAATTCCATCATCAACAAATGAAATAGATGATAAGATTGTCGAACAATAAAAAGCAAAAAGACTTCTCTTCGTCCTAAAGGTCAATTATTATTTTCAGATTCAGATATCTTACGAGAGTAATGATGATGATATACACCCAGCGAGTGTTTTTCTTCGTATTAATGCTTTGTTATGCACTTTTTTTTTGTTTCTGTATTCTTTAGTTGATGTTCTATATCTGTGTTATTGTAATCCTATGACAAAAATAGACAAACTGCCAATAAAATAGAAGAGACATTTTAGAGTGATATCTTGCAAGTTATTGTTTTCTTTTCGTTTCTTTTTCTTTTTTATGAATAAAATTTTTTTTATTTCTGCATTTTAATCATTCTCTTATTACTACAGTAAAAATAAAAGAATAAACAAATCGATACGCAACTATTAACAGATAAACTTTATCGAAAGTTTAGTATGACAAACACTTTTTATTTTCTTAAATATACATAATAAATTATTTACAACAAAGTCAGAATATATCACGCAATAAAATTTTAAATTTTAATTTAATGTTATTTAAAAAGGTATTCTGCTCTGATGAGAGCCGAATTTTAATCATTACCATACAAAACTGGCACGTTTAGGAAGATACAAAAAGAAATTATAATATGATACATATTCTATAGCTATTTTACAACAGTCGTAATATTGTGTCTGTTATCCTTCTATTCAAAGAAAACAGAGCAATTGTCGCACACTAACTTTCGACAACATTTGTCTGCTTTCAATACAGTCCATATACTGATTGCCATGATAAACATGCCCACATATTACTGGATAAAAGTGAAGGCTGCGTCTAATGCAGGCAGTTACTCTTCCGACACTTGCTGAATGTCTATGAAGAAATTCATATTTCTCTAAATGTAAGTGTCATAGATAGTATCTTATGATTGTTGTAAAATAGCTCTTGAATATATATCACATTGTTTTTTCTTATGTAACTCGCCGAATTCTATTCAACATTGACGAAAAATAAATGTGCTGTAATTTTGAAGTGTGAGCGCATAATATAAACTGTAAATATCTTGAAATTCGAATATTTCAATCCGTACATACTATGGGCAGTTTATGTTTTATATTAATTAGTTTGACAGTGGGAGTATTTATTTGACCTGAATAAGATCAATGTCTATAACTTACAGTAAACGACCTTCTATTGTAAGTGGCATTGAGATGCGTTAATGCTAGTACTAACAATAATTAATACTAAATATCACTGAATACCAAATGATCTGAGAATTGTGTCATGCCTAACTGAACTATTTAATAATCCGTAACATTTTATTAGTACAAGAAGCTCTGAAAATAGCAATTTTGATCTATCAATAATAATGAACTATTCTCTGGAGATTTAATCACAACCGGTAATTCAATGATTATCAGTTCGAATGACATGTTTAATCAGTAAAACTAGCAACGACTCTTTTCCATTTTTTTTGCATGATGTCAAAAAGAACAAAAGACTGTTTTTTTTTTGCCATGAATGAAAGTTAAAATTCTAAAGAAAAATAAATTTGAAAACAAGATTTAACTGCAAAACGGAATGATCATTTGTAGAATGATTACAAAAAAGTTTGGGAACATGTTTTATAGTGAACTCTATAAACAATCAATCGACAATTTGTTTTGTGTTGCGCCATGTTCGAAAAAAATGAGTTACAAACTCAATAAGCTTAAATAAAATATTTTTCTACAGACAAACAAGATATACAACGATTGACAATGTTTACTATTGGTATTAATATCATTTGAAATTTTCACGTAAAAGGGATGGTATCACTGGAGTCTCTAAACAAGAGTGCACCCGATCAATCTGTCCATAGTATCGATATAACAGAGACACCAATATTCTTCTATTTCAATGATTGGTTGTTACAGAATGATTCTTCTGAAATCGTTATGGACGTAAAGAATTAATGAAATACACATAATTCAAAACGAGAAAAAAAAACAAGAATCAACAAAAAAAATACCTTTCATCAAAAGAAGAATCCATATAAAATCAAGTACACAAACCTTTTCAAACAATCTTCGGTGGGTTTTATGTTTTTTAATAAAATTTATCACAAATTCTTTTTTTGTAAATAAAAATACTCATTCATATATATGATCAGAGAAAGGGAATTTAACGACCAATTATGTCTCGATATTTTTTTTCTTTAACCACATTATTGAATGGGTAAAAGCAACATCAATTCCATATTATTGTAGTAACAGAAAAAAAGAAAGGCGTGAATCGATAAAAATTAATATTTCCATGATCAATTGTATGCCTTAGTATATCTAACTCGTCGAGAAGTATTCGAGAAGAGAACAGCACACTTCAATATATACTTAGGATATAAGAAAGGTAGTGATTTTAGCAGAAAAAAGCCTACAAGAAAGAATGAATCAAGCTTTTATCCCAGCAGAAATTTGAGTTAGTAGCCATGCTTAATTATGCATAGTCGATTTGTTCGAAGACATTTGTTGAAAATATTTTTATTTACAAAAAAATTCATCATTTTGGTTATAGCACTCAATACAGTGAATGCATCACATATAAATTGCTTCAGATTCTTCGAACTAGAAGAACTACAATCGAATCATCTCCATTAGTTACAGTTTGACGCAGTAATTTATTCTCGCTATAGTCTGCTATGCATTGGCCATATATCTGCCATTATAGTCCTCTAATAGTTTTCTGTCTATAGTGTATATATTTGAAATTTTTATTTCTTTGTATGTATGCACAATCGCCGTATAATTTCAAGCGTAGCAATTGTTCATTTATATACTAAAACTTGTTGAGCACAGTTATTATATGGCATGCACATACGAGACTAGATATAACAGATTCCGAGATAGCTTTATATGTTATGCTTTCTTTCTTATTTTATGACATAAAGAGTTCATCGGTTGATAGTGTTCATGGTCTCTACACAACATTATAAAATGTATACGGTAATAGATAAAGAGAACGTCGATCTCGATGGTACAATAGATACATAAATAATCAAATCTTCTACTATAATAATAGATAATCCTGGCATTATCTATGATCAGATGAACGAACTTAATGTTTTTATAAGTAAAAAGGAAGATGAATATGAAGAACACGAGAGAAGAATGGAATATGAGAGTAGATCATAACACGACAAGATCTATTATACTCCATAGACATATAATCCACTTCATAAATTAGTTTTATGTAGCATGAATTTCAATCTGGCAGTATATTTGCTACTTTTCCTTTTTTTTCTGCATTGTTCTTTAAATACCTTCGTTCTAATCGTGTTATTTCCTACAAGGAAAATAACTGGATTAACTTTTCTCGAGTGTTGAAAGAAATAGTAAAAAAGAACTAAGCTGAAACAATTGAATTAATGGGAACTTGACTTCAACTGAAAATACGTTAAGCAAAAATCAATACTGGTCTCGTAGCAAGTATTGTTGGTGTGAAGGCTGTTTTGGTTTTTAACAGTGCATTTTATCTAATATTGATTTGACTAAAAATGAAATTTTTCGGTTTTTCTTTGTGGGATAACTTTGATCTTGTGATTCGATCAGAACATTGAATGGCGCATCTTTTGAGAAAAACGATCAATATTTTACCATATTTCTGAACAAAATGACATGCAAAACTTTTGCTCCACCTAATATTCATAAAGATTCTTTTACATTCCTACACCATAACGTAACATAATTATTTTATACTCGTTTTACTCTACAGATAAAGTACTAACGTATTTTCCAGATGCTTGATCTAATTGATAAACTTCATCCATCAAACAGTTCCGAATAATAATATGAAGTGCTAGAACCAAGTTGATGAATTTTTTAATTAAAAATTATTTAAAAATAGCTTCAGTAAATTGATAATGCATGATTAAGTATAACTACTAACTCAAATACCTGTTCAAGCAAAACTTGATTAACTTTTTCCTGTAGTATTTTATCTGCTAGAATCATTACTTTTCAAGATTGAAACCTCTGCTATTCTTTCGTTGACAACATTTTATATTATATTCTTCATGTTCGCAATTCTTTTTTTCATCAACAAATTGTTCTTCACGTTTCATTAATTCAATATCGGTAAATTGAGTCTTAAATAATTACTGCAGCATAGCTATGAGTTTTAACTGAGCATGAATAAATAATAGTTGGTGCACGAACGCCACATTCATGATTTATATTCATCTAAAAAAAAACACTTTAATATTAGTATGACAAAAAAAAAAACACTGCAATTTCTAATAAAACATTCTCAAACTGATATGTTAAGAAAAAACAAAAACAAAATATCACAGATCGATATGATTGAGATTCTAAAAATAAATGGAAAAAGAAAGTCAATCATTTAAAATAGAATTTTTAATTGTTACCTCTAAACGATGACAAATACAATTATCTTTTTTTATATGACTTTCATCAAATTCATGTTGAACTAATTCCATATCTGGAGAGATTTTAATTGGTGATATTAAACGTTTAGCATATTCTTGTAAAACTTGTACATGATAACAAAGAATATGATTAGGAAGAAGATTTCGTCGAGTAAATCGTTGTGCACGTTTTACTATTTGTTGCGCCTTAATAGAAAAAAAAAACATTCAATATTAATTTATAGGATTTTATTTATCGTCATACTTCATCATCATGATCTTTTGCCCATTGAATTTTTTCAATTAAATCTGATAAATCTTTTTCTATTGGTATATAATGTTGATATGGTATAAGATCTCGATAGAAATGTTCATAATATGAACTTGCTTGTTTAAATATGAGTCCATCACCAGCTAATAAATAAGGAAATCGATATGAAGCAACTGTTCCATCAAGTGATATTTGATATTTATAATCGAAAAATTTTGTCATTGGAATATGTTCAGCAAATGGTTCAAATTCCGATTTTTGATCACGGAAGAAAAACATTCGTGTTAAATTAGCATCAATTAAATCGGGATATTTTTTTGATAGACGAACAAGATCGAGACGTTCCTTAAGAAAGATAAATTATAGATTGACAAGAAAAAAAAAAACAAACATCCCAATTACTCGACAACTATCACGACCACGAAAAAATCCTTTTGGAATCTTTTTTGACCATGGTAAATGACGTGTCGTATGCATGGCAAATATATCTAGTGTTGTTCTAGAAAGCATTTGGAGTGTAGCTTCTGTTATTTCATAAGTCGGTAGAATAATATCATGTGTTTGTTCTGATCCACACCAAGATATAATTGCTATTGGATCATCACCACTACTTAATGGATAATCACCCAAATTCATTAAAAATTCCACATCAGGTAAAACAACCTAAAGTAAATTTCATCTTTAAATTGAATATTTTTATCATATTTTTACTTTTCGAGAAAGAGATAATAAAACTGCATCGGAAAATGTTTTAAATCCAACATGTTCACCATAACATTTTCGATAAATCTATTTCAATAAAGAACAAAAAACTAAAGGATATTTCATATTTTTATTTTACTTTATTATTTTTAATAACATAATGACAAAGTGCATAACTTTGAGGATATTGAAAATATTTTTCTTGTGCTTTATGAATTACTTTGTTCATATCAATTTTATCGAATACTTTTAAATCTTGACGTAATTGTGATATTGATAATGATGATGAACATTGCAATGCATCAATCCATTCAGTTAAATTTGTTTGTGGACAATAACAACCATCAGAATAAATATAACCTTTAACAATATGTTCGATGTCTTCATTTCCAAATCGAATATATAAATGAAGATTTTCTACAGATTCATATAGACGATATCGAAATAAATAAGTACCATCATTAAGATCATCAACTTTACGATAACTATGAACAGATAATTGATTAGATACACGAGTTAAATGAAATATTATACGATCAACAGATTGACTTGAATAATTAAGTCTAAATATGCATTACATTATTTTTAATGAATAAAAGATTTTAATGAAATTATATACTTATGCCCTTTTAAATCATATGATTGTAAATAAAAATAACGAACAGGTACTTGAAATGATGCTTGAAGACCAGGCCCATAAAGACGAGATTGAGTAGAAATAGAAGTTATTGATATTAAATGAAAAATTAGTACAAATAACATTTCTGTTCTGGAAAAAGAAAGATCAATGTGAATATTCATTCATTAATTCCTACTTCTAATGATTCATCAACAAGTAAAACTAAACAACATACAAAGAGGGCACCACTGGATGACATTGCTCAACAAACGTTTCATTTATGAAGATTTCAAATATTAACTCAATTAGATTTGATATATGAAAAAAATTAATCTTCCTCTTCGATCAAATCATTTAAAATTTACAATTGAAAAGTTAATAAACTGAAATGCACTTCATTCGTAGTCTTGCAAGACAAATTTTTGAATCGTGCTGTTGATTGAAAGGCAGTTGAGTGCACAATGGGCAATAGCTCGTTTATTGATTTTCACTCACTAAGTTGTCATGACAAGTTTTTTCTTTCTTCTTTACGCTTTAATTACGGCTCAAGTCAGTCACTTGTTCTCCACATCTAACTGGTATTTATTTTGGAATGAGAAAAAAATTGGAGAGATCGTGAGAATATGACGAATGCACATATGAAATTCGTTTTTTTATGAAAACTCAATTCCATTTGGGCATTATCTCTTAATTTGTTTGCTGAGCTAAAGACGACTGAAATTCATTATGATTTCTTCTACACAAGTCAAAGATTTAGAAATAGCACATGTCGTATAGAATTGCTGTTCTTTTTTCCTTCTATTTATTTAAATATTAAGATATTAGTATTTGGAATAAAAAAGTTTAAGTGTATGACACGTTCAGTTTTGATTTAATGCTCAAATAAATTCGTGACAAACAGAATTTTTCGGGACTGGTCGGTACTGTTTCGTAGGAGTCTACTTATTTAACATAAATCTTAGCCCACTATCCTTTTCAAAATATAATGTGCTTCACTGTTTTTCGAATAACTTTTGATAAGAATATCAGAGAGACTTGAGATTTTCCCCATTCAAAAGAGAGGACTCGCGGTCATCGAAATGCATCAAAATTCGATTAGCCAGTCATTGGTCAATTATGTGATTTCTTTGTAAAAGTTTTCGAAAACGATATTCTGAAGCTATTTTTGTTTCAACTTAGACTTTTAATAGAAGTAATCAATGGAAAAATTGTTCCTTTTTAAGCTAGGCATGGTCAACATTCGACTCAGCATGATGAATTATCTCTGCTCAGCTGCTTGTCTGGACGATCAAAGATTAAAATCGGCTAATATCGGAGAGTTTCAGGAAAAGCCTTATAACTTTCGAATGAAACAAACTAGGAATGTCGACCTTGCGTAACGCAAAACCGACATAGTTTCAGAGTATTGTTTTCGAAAGTCTTCACTAAGAGCTGACCACATTAGTCAATTTTTGATCAATCCAACTTCAATATACTTTCGATGATTCCTACAAGTCTTCTCTCTTGTGAAGACCATTAAATTTGGAAATGAATAATAGTTAAGTAAAATAAGACCGTGAAAGAAAGCACGAAGTTATTACTGATCAACAGCCTAGTCATCTATCTTTATTTCGATTTCAAATTGTGTTTCAATGAACGTATTAAGAAACTTTCTAACTTGTTTTAGTGACAATAATGTTTTCGAATAGCTTCAGTAAAAAAAGCTTTGCATCATGCAAAAAGATTTCTTCTAACGGGTGTTGCAAAAGCTCCTGGAAAAATGTCACACTCTGTTGTATTTGAACAGAAAGTGATAGAAAGTTAATTCTTTTTTTGTTAGATAGAGCATTGTTTCTACTTTAAAAAGGATATATATTTCGCAGACTTGTCTTTGTACGATAGCCGGGAAAGCCATTCGATTTCCTAAAAAGCAGGCTGTAAACGGTTTTTTACAGCAAACCATTTGTATATCTCAAGAAAGACATGTACTTCTGAGCTAAAAGGACTTCTAGGTTGTGTAGTTGTTTAAAGGTCACCTAGATAAAAAAATTCAGCTGAAATGGATTTTTCTTTACAGAGATCCAGTTTGTTAAAATAATGCTGGTATCAATTGCGAAACTTTGTGTAACAGTAAGTTTTACAGTTTCCGACATCTAATTAAGTTAAGATTAACAGTTTAATTTAAAAAATGTGTACATAGTCTTGTAGTCTTGGGAAAGCTGTATCCATCCTAGTGGATTTTGTTTTAATTACGTCTGAAGAAGGATATCTGTAGCGATAAGAGTTTTGAACGGTTGATGCACGCAAATTTCCGAAAAAAGAGAAAATTCGTTTTTCCTCCCAAAAGTAAACCACTTGGCAATGATTTGTATGTGTGACGAAAGCTTATATCATGCTGTATATAACCTGTAAAAATCAGCTCAAAATGTTGCATCTAAGGCAAGATATCAAATTTTTCTCGAAGAAAGCAAAAGCAAAATTGAAGAAAGTTACAGCACGTTTTTTCGGAGTTTTAGGAAATCGAATGGCTTTTCCGGCTAGCGTACAAAGACAAGTCTGCGAAATATATCCTTTTTTAAAGTAGAAACAATGCTCTATCTAACAAAAAAAGAATTAACTTTCTATCACTTTCTGTTCAAATACAACAGAGTCTGACATTTTTCCTGGAACTTTTGCAACACCCATTAGTATGAACTTTCTTCATAATTCAAGAACTCTGAAACTGTATACTGTCAAAATAAATTTATTCATTTCGAAGATTTAAAAAATAGAATTTAATGTCACTGGTTTCTAATAATCTGAAAATATTTGTCGTTCGTATCTATATATTCTTTAACAAAAAAACAAAGATATACTACAATATGAACATCAACACAAATAAAATAGTACTACAATAAATAAAAAAGTTCTCTGTTAATTTCGTTACTTTATTACACATATCTTGATCTGAACAAAAACAAATTTCTATTGATTTTTTATCGTCTCTTTTTATTTTTCTACATCCATTTGATGTATTAATACCCATCTCAGCTGTTCGTAATAATTCATCAGCTGAAAAACATCGACGACTTGATTTTAATGATGATAAAGCAGCATCTTTTAATTTTAATCGTTCTTGACTATTATTTCCTAATCGTTTCATATCAAGTAAATCAACTGATTTCCAACATTTTCCATCACAATCTTCTAATGTATGTTCCGTAAAATCAAATTGTGCTTGACAATCTTAAATAATAGTTTAAAATAAAATATGATCATCAAAGAATAAAATTACATACCATCTTGAAATACTCCTGGTTCTTTTGATGATTCAACTGTAACTTCACATTTCCAACATTGTAATGAAGATTCACGAGCATGAATTTGATCGAAAATATTGAAAAGATATAATATCAATAGTAACCATTTACTTGTCATCTCCCATTCATCAACAATAGATCGAACTCATGAAATACATAGAAACGAAGAGATTGTATACAGATTTGTTTGCTCAAGAATAGTGCTCATCTTTTCTTTTTCTTCTTTTTTCTCTTGTTTGGTCGGTCATTTATATCTTCAATCGATCAAATCTAAAGGTGACAAGCTCATCCGTTCATCCCTCTTCCCTTTTTTCTTTTTCTTTCTTTACCATTGACAAAATCTCCTAGCCATATGCTTTGTATTCACTATATGCATTACACAGTAAAAAATACGAAAGCATTTCGTTAAATAAACATCAGATTGTCTTTTTATACACAATATTTGTCAAGCATATGTAAAGAAAAAAAATCTCACTCATATTCATTTTTAATATACTGTTCCTCTTATGTTTCATATACATTCAATATTTGTCACTTTCAAGGCATCTATAGCCTTATAAAGTATGTAATGGTTATAAGTTTCACACTTCTCTCATGTAGGAGACATTTGGTGAAGCAAATGTCATTGTGCAACATTGATTATCTCAAATATTAATATTTGAAGGTCTTTTGTGTAAAAAAGACATTTTTTATCATCTATTCTTAGAAGACAGTCATACATACAAAGGGAATATGATGAAGAAAAATAAAAGTAGACAGAAAATTAATAGTTAAAAAAAACTTTGTGATTTTTTTGTTTAAAAAAGTACAAATATATTTACTATCTTGTTTCTGTTTTAACAGACGCTTACGAATGAACATTTGTAAGTGCCAAATTACTAGTTACTCAGAACTATGCGCATATAATGAGCTATGAATACTTTAAAAAGAGTTTTGGGCGAATAAATTATTACTGCCAAGAGACTGTATTATTGAGAGAAATGCCGTCCTAGATGATTAATTTATATAGAAATCAAAGAAAATAATTCTCATTGTTTTCCACATTTCAAATGTGTAGCTCAAGATTCATGTATAGGTTTTATGTTATTCATTGTCTTTTATTATCATAGATTAAATTAAATTTCAAATCTTCAATTACCTGGTCATGAAAGATACTCATTCCATATCTTTTTGAACAAATGACCAAGATGATTAAAGGTCTTAATTGTTGTCCAATTAATTGGAAACTTTTTTTCTAACATAAAAAGATGTCATGCCTGTAGCTTGTTTCTTAAAGGATTGAATATTTTTACTGTTATAGCCATAAGAATAGTCTTATCAAAAAAAGATCACTATCTCAGACAATATAAATTGAAACGAGCTGAGATGTAGTTGTAGAAAGTGTTCACATTGTTCTAATTGTTTGAAAGAAGAACATCAATTTCGTCGTCGCCTGTATGACCAAATTCAAGGTATTCATCGACATTATATTTCGTTATTTCATCGGAAATATGATCAAGTGAAGTTTCACTTTCTACAGAAAATTAATGACAGTTGATAATTGAATTTAATACTTCAACCATATGGTTGGCAACTTGTTGTTCACGTATTGTTGTAGTTGAAAGATTAGAATTCACAGATGCAACCGATTGAGAAAACTTATCTTAGAGAAAAATACACACTACAGATACATTAATGATATCAGAACGACGGAAAAATAAATATATTATCGTAGCCAATCACAATTATCAAGCATTCAAAAGTCTATTGTGGCATAATTACTCAATATTCTAAAATTTTCAGCTGTTTATCTCGTAACTACAAGTAACATAATAATTGACATTTAGAATAACGTTAACATTTTCAAAGCTCTTTTGTACTCATACTGTTACGTTATCTTTCATATAAGTACAGCTATACATGAGAAAAATCTCAATTCATTTTTATCTATATTGGCTCTAATAGTAAAACTGTTCGAGCTCTTCAGAAACAGACTATGGTCACGAACTCTGTTTTTTTGCAGACATAATTCATAAACGTCTATAAGGTGCGCAGAGTCCGACTCAAAAATGCACTGACACTTGGAAATGTTCCCTCGTAAAATCAATATATCTAATGCATCAATATCTCCTTTTTCATTTTAGACGGTCCGGAACATATGTAAACAGATGGTTTCTTCAACTGTGCTATAGATTTTACCAAAGCAGCAAATATCATAACGATGATATGCAACTCAATCCACTTCGCGGATATGCTATGGGGCGTAGTGATATAACCAATAAATCCAAAATATGCGCTGTAATGGGAGACTTTCATGGAGTTGAATCATGTGATGGACATCACAAACCAGTAATGAGTTTTCCTATTATGTACATATTACAAGTTTTGAACAATGAATTATTATATTACTATATAATTATTTAGAAAAAACGACGATATGTAATTGTAATTTGTCTAGATTTTCTGAAAATTGTTATTCCTAAACTAATTGTTGAATAAAGGATATGTCAATTTCAACTCTTACTATTAATTGAAATTATGAATTTTCTCAAGAACATACATCAAAATGTTAAATAGAACTGTATTTGTTAGTACTAAACAGTAGCGATTCATGGTTAAAGTCTATTTATAAGCGAGTTGCTCCTGTTTTTTATTAAAAAGATGAGAAATACATGATATCTTAAGACCATCTACACACAAACATAGAACAAATAGCAATTAATAGTTGTTGGATGATGAGAGAAAGGTCAAGAAATAAAAGCTTTCTAAATCATATCGATAAATATGTTGTTATATGAGCTTTCTGTATGTAGCTTCGAACAAAATAATTCCATTGTCAACTTGATTAATGAACACCATCATGACGAATTCTTTAAGTCCAGTAGATAATGAAGTATTTTGAAGAAAAATAAGAACATTTTTTAATACCTAACTAAGCATCCCATGGATAAATAGACAGTAGATATGTATAGTTGTACTCGCGTGATAGACATTTATTTGATGAGCAAATATTTGGTAAGTTATCTATTTTTACTCAGAATTCAATTTTTAGACATTCACATATCGAAGAATTAATCAAAGACCTTCAAATGGTGTATAAGATGATAATTCAATTTTAGTTGAGAAAATGAAAGATTGCATGGTAAAATTCAGGGAATGCGTCTCATACAAAGACAAGAACGAGTTTCACACTATATCAGAGAAGAATATTTGAAAAAAAAAAGATCTTTTTTTTTAATAACTTTTATGTTAAAATTCTCATATTGCTTAACTACTATGTTATCGTATGAATTATGTAAACTAACAAATTCGAAATAAACTTTTAATATTATTCCTTTTCATTTACGATAGTTATTTTAACGATTAAATCTCTTGTTTATTAAAAGAAGCCACTATATATGAAGAAGAATAAAATATATTCTTAAAAACTAGATAACTATCACCATAGATATACATCATGGTTAAAAAATTTAATAAAATAATCATTGAGTAAGTTTTCCCAGTTAATTAACATATGAAATTCTAGTAAAGATATTTTAGATATTTGTAAAATACATAAAAAGAATAAATGAGATGTTTTACTATTAGTTTTGGCTGTGGGCGTGAGTGAAAGGAGGAAAGTCTGGCTGAGAAATTAGACTAACTTATCACCCACACCCTCTTTTTCATAATTTCAAGAATTTTTCGAAGTCCAAGTTTAAATGAATACCAATGAAACAGGTTTTGCGTTCTTTCTTTTGTTTTATCGAAGGAAAAATATGAATTTAATTAAAAAACTAGTAATCATATTGAAAATTATCACTTTTTTTTTATAAACTTACAGTAAAGTTGTCTGATGTTTATAACCATGTAAGTCTCGTCTATCCAGGAATGAAATAAAATGCGAAACCATTTTAAAAATAATCGCTGTCTCTGAACTGCCCGTAATTAGATTTTCTCATAGGTACGCAATACAGATTATCTTTATTAGTTATTATGCATTTTTGAACGATGACAACTACGACACATTGTATAGAAATAAATAAAAGGCTATATATACTTTCAATGAACTAGATTTCTTTCTGCAAATTTGATTTTATTTTCTTGTTGAAAATCAATCGCCTCGTGCTCTTTATTTTGATTGTTTTATTGTTGCTATGTACAGTCCTTCCAAATAGGGTGCGTAGATGAAAAGTTTTCAAAACGAAGAACGAAAAAAAAAACAGAAGGCAAACAGAGACCAAAATGCTGTCATGATGCTAAGATAAGAAAAGAATTATTTTACAAACAACGTACTCGTCTGACTTACACAGTAGTCGACCAAGTCGAAAGAAACCATCAGTGATATTGATTCGGTATAGTTGGCTTCCATCACATTATTTTGATGAGTACCTTATTAAGAGAATTTGCAAGACTAGAGAAAGTACTTTAAACATCATAAAGAAAGCGATAAGATTTCGAAGAAAAAACACAGAAACAACTTATTTAAGATTTTATTTATCGAATGTTGAAAGTTGTTTTCCTATTTATTTACACAGAATTGCATTCGTTCAAGTCACTAGTTCTTTCGATAAACAATCTATTAATGCAGCTCTACCGAAGCATATAATATGAAACTCATATAATGCTTTGGAGTTTCTAATACTAAGAACTCTTATTTTAGTCTGTCACGTTTCATTTGTGCTAAAATTATGGACAGACGAAGACATCTTTCAAAACATTTCATTCAGTAACTCGCAGCACCTAATATACAACAACATTCATACTGTGCACTGGCTGACTTTATTCCATAATGCAATGATTTCTTCACAATTCATAAGTTTAATCTATTCTTATTTTAAGTAATTATTTAACAAATCTGAAGGGTATCTCAATTCTTAAAAGAATACTATTGCTGACAGAAAGAAAAGCTTAATTGCTCATTTTCGATAGGCCATTTACGGCTTCATTTTCGGCCTCTCAAACGATCGTTACCGAGGGATCAATATGTAATCAAAATGAAAAGTATTTGGTTCGATAGATGCCTCATTCATTAGTCATTGAGACCCACCCAATATGAGTTGAGAAGAAGATTTGAGTATGGGTATTCACGATTTCCTTTCATTGAAAAGTGTGGATGTGATTGCTCATTCCATCCACATGCACACTCTAGATAAAACT